CGCCAAACCCACCGGCACTCTTACAGCGCCATCCTAATGGCACTCTTACAGCGCCATACCCACCTGCACTCTTACAGCGCCATCCTAATGTCCTAATGGCAGTCTTACAGCGCCAAACCCACCGGCACTCTTACAGCGCCAAACCCAGCACTCCTTTTTCCAGTCAGGCGAGGCTGGCACAGCTCTGGATCGGCAACTCTGCCTGCTAGCGCAGCGCCGGTGAGCGTGGCAGCGCTGCTTACTCCGGAGGATGGCGTACCATGACCCAAACCTGAGGGAGGTGGGGCCGCCCCGGGCAGACCCAAGCCAAAAGCAACCAAGGCATGACTAAGAAAAATGATAAAGATGACAACCTGGTTTGTAAAAGTGGTGAATCATTGGTTGTAATCTCTTGTTGAACATGTACATCCTGAGACTACATGTTATACATGTTGCAGTCTTCAGTGTGCTCTTTGGTCGCCTCGTAGGTCTCCCCAGCAAGGCTTCGAGTGGCGCTTCGCAGGACCTGGAAGCCCAAGCGCTGATAGAAGGTCACATTGCGTTCCTGGCATGACGCCGAAGAGCAGCAAAAAAAGCGACGAATAGACGGGAGGAGTGCTTAATATTTTTTGGGGTCACAAGTATGTCCGCCGAGACGAGTGGTTATTTCACACGAGTGGTTGAAACAAACAGTGGTTGGTGGACCTCACGTCAGATCATGGACAAACTGTTAGCTGTTAAGTTGGAGGGTTTTCGGAAGTTCTTCTTGGACTGTGAATATCGAAACAACGCGCGGCACCTCGTTGGTGGTGAGCATCACTGGCTTCTTGGCCAAATCCGCCTCTGCCAGCGCCACTTTGAGTGCTGAGGAGCCAATACCTTGGCCCTGCAGCTGGGGAGACACCACCATTCGTTCCTGCAAACGTCTCCCAAAGCACAACGGTGAAATTCAGACATGTGAAACAACTAAAATCAAAGGCAAAACCATGCAAAACCAAAGGGGTACCCAAACAACCCGGTATTCACACGGCCTTCTGCGAACCGCGGTTTCCCGTTCGTTTTACCCTGAGGAAGAGTAGTAACTTGGTTCTTGCTTTGCATGGACAGTGCACGTCTTCTCTTGGATAGTTTGGCTTGCATGATGATTGAAGATTCACTTGCTCTGTCTCACTCACTGTTTTGGAGAAAAAACATCTCACTCTTTAGATTTCAGGTGACTCCTGAAATCAGACTGACCACACCTGTTCCACATCTTTTGAATACAGTGAATACATGTGAATACTGTGTTTTCAGAGTAAATGGCACAAACCCGAAACATGTCCTTTAATTTGTGCCTAATTCCTCGGAAACCACTGCACATACCACTGCACATGTACATATAAATACTTACCCTCAGACGGCTGCCCAGGCTCTAGTCTAAAAGCTCCATCCACCTTGATCTCTGCTTCTTCGATGGCTTTGGCTTCCAGAAACCGTCGCACCGCCGAGCAGCCAAAGAGGAAGGGAGCCTTCCTTAGAGTTGATGTCCGGGAAGAACGGACCATGACGGCACCCGCCTGGAGCCCTAGTCCGCGTTTCTTTCGCTGGTCCTCCCAGGTATGTCAACCAAGGTATCCTGGGTGAAAAACCCACAGCCACATCTCTGGAGACGCAAAAGCATGCGTCGATCTTGGTGCTGTTGTCAGTGTATGCCATCACATAAATCCAAGTGACTAGGTGAGAAAGCACCAAAACACCCAAAATGACCAAAAAAATCTTGGACCTATCAGATGTTATTGTATTGGACAACTGCTAGAAACGAACTCAACTAAAGGGGAAACGATCAGCAAAACCTGGCTTCAGTAGGCCTGCCTGCAGCATCTGGCAGAAGCCAACATCTGGGGTCTCCTGCGGATTCAAGGCTGCGTGGTACGGATGGAGGTGCCCGGTGATTGTTGCTTGGCCGTTGAGCTCACAGCTTTCAGTGTGTCGAAAGACTTTGAGCACACTCCAAGACCTCCAAGACACTGAGAGGAGAAGCAAGATCTTAGTATGGTAAGAAGCTGCTCTGCAACACAATGTCTCACCCTGGGTCCCCGAATGTCCAACATCCCTTCCGGCCGCCTTCGAGGCCGGTGCACCCTGAGGCCCGGCCCCAGACGTCTTGGGGTGCAGGTCTGAACTGTTTAACTGCACCGGTGCTCTGTTGTTCAAGCCCTTCATTGCCGTACCTGGCAATGTTCGCCCAACTCTCTGCGAGATCTTGTTACGTGTGTGACCCATCTCCACCCGCTCTGTCCGGCGCCACGAACATGAAGGTGCATGCTAGCTGGCCCTCCATGAGAACTGCTCGGTTGCAGCCAGCGCTTCGCCGGAGCCAAAGGTTTCGTTCCTCGGTTGCATCACGCCATGCGGCCGAAGAAGGCGTATTCGAATGGTGTCTTTGGGGAATCATGTTTCAAGACTAAGACATGCACTGACTCCCAAGCCGTGATCACTGGAAAGTAAGGGTCAACCTGTTAACCATCCTTTTTTCCATCTGTTCTGCCACTCCCTGTACCGGCTCTGGTCGCCGGTAGCACTGCGGACACTCTTGCTGAGTGGGGAAACGAATCTCTTTAAATATGTTGAAAGTTGCCCAGTGTTTTTTTATTATCACATGTTCGGGCTGTCTTTGAATGAAACACGGTCATCGCATGTCATCGTCCACTTTTAGAATGGCTACATGCATGGCTACATGATTTGAATGACTGAAATCTCTGTCTGAAACACGTCGTGGGCGTGCAGCGTCGGTCCATCACCTCGCAACGACGTGATCTCTCCTGGTCGAAATGATTCCTTTTCGTGTTGTACTGACGCACTGACGCATGTCCACTGACGCACAGATCGCCTTTCGCATCGCCCAGGTTTCGAAGAGCCATTGGAGCATCTGCCGCCGGAAGGAGGGGTGATTCTCACTACCACAGATGGCGCGCCACGCCTCTGATCCGAACGAATCCCAAAACCGTCCGGAGGAACGGGTGGACGTTGACCCTTCAATCGAAACCAAAGACGAGAAACGAGGACTGGCTTCTGTGTGGAACGGCTGCTTAAGCAGTGTACAAAACTGGTATGAGGACTTGACTTTTGGGGTCACTTCCTCATTCACGAAGCAGCCAGCCACAAAAGCTTACCAAAGCTTCAACTCATTTCAACTCCGTGAGCCTTCTCAAGATCTGAAAAAAGGTGGAGAGAGATGACCAACTCCAAGATGGGTTGATTGATGATCCCAAACATGTTGCACCAAGTGCTGAGGTGGAAACCACCTGAGGAACGGAGGAACATCACGGTCCCGGTCGTCGGCCGCGTGCCGGTCCCCGCGTTGGGGCGGTCGGCAAAGGCGTCGGCCATCATCACGGCAGCTGGGAGCTCATGCTCCGCGGGGAGCGGCACAAGCTCTAGCGCCATGAAGCGGGCGAGGCAGCGCAATGAGAGGCCGTTCTTCGGCTGGGGGAGAGGTAGTGGGTGGTAAGTGGCCATGAGAAGTTCACCACATCAGTTTTTAGATAGTAGGTTGGGGCAGGTGCCACTACTAACGGAAAGTATGACCTTTATTTTACACGATATTCCTCTTGGGGATGGAGTGACTGAGATGCAGGTCACCCTCTGAACATTGAGCTGGAAGAGGTCATGTTCAAGACTTTCAGACTCCTTGAGTACTTCTGTCTCCTTGAGTGTTACACTGTTTTCTTTCTTTAAGAGTTTGTAGTAGACCTCCCCACAATGATTATGTTTTTATATTGATCTGTCTGCCAAGCAACCCTGGAACAGATCTTCGTCCAAACATGCATGGACTCTGTCAAGGGATGCTTATATGCAAAAAGCCGATCTTGTTGAGACAGAAAACGTCAGCAGCTGATGGTCAATCACATTATTGTGTAATCATACTATAGATGTATTTACCAATCCTTCACTTCAACTTAAGTCCACTTCACCTCTTGCAGGCTTATATTGAGCCATACAGCAAGCTGTGGCCAATTGTTCGGCACCAGGACCGGTGTTTCCTTGACCGACGTGGTCTCGCCACGGGTCAGGTGTCTCGCCTTGATGCTGGTCACCAACTTCTTGCGCCGATCCCGGGTCTTGGCAGTACCTGATCTTGCTGTGAAGCGCGGATGTCGCGCCGCGCGGAGGTCTGAGAGGAGTTTTCGGAGAATGGGAGCTCGGTGGACCTGACTTACAGTAAACCAATGAAAATGAGGTTGTTCCACTGAAGTTCATGCGTGCAGGACAAAAAGGGTAGTACGTTTTTCGACTGTCGATGGACTTCTATATATACATGTTCCCCATCGCGGCCCGCCTCCCCATGTCTTGAAAGTGTGATCCACCATCTCTTGCATCCGCTTGATCACCTCCTCATCGCTAATGAGCTCCTCGCGCCACGGCGCAACATCAAATGGGGTCCGGGAGGCTTGGAATTGTACCGCCCAAGAGCCCAAACATGACCCCTGCTTTGGATCGGGAAGAACTTAACACATATATTGGGTGGTTGGTGGTTGGTGGTCCAAAATAGAGGTCGGTTCTAGGTCTAACTGTCTAACTCGATGACTTCACTTCTTGCGGCCTCCCATGGAGCGGCGAGCGGACCTATGGGGGGACCAGTCACACCTGTCCTTAGACCAGGCTACCGGAGATAACGGACCCAGTGGAAACGGGTTCAGGAAGACCAGTCAACCCGCCAACCCAGCCAGGGCCGCAGGGAGAACCTTTGTCTGATGGAAAAAGACACCTCCAGCTTCTCACACTCTCTTCATCTCTCTTCACCTCTCTTCGTCTTCTCCGAACCCAAATGGCACCCAAATGTCACGCGGCGGGGAACAAAACCCCGGCCGCGTGACCCGCCTTCCGCACCGACAAGCTCGTGCCCCTGAGAACGCAGAACCATGGAAGGTGGGTCGTGACCCACTTGGATCCCGGCAAGCGTAGCAAGACCTCCCAACCAAGGTAGATCTTGGTACCATGACCCACAGCCATGTCTCAAGAGCGCGTTCTTGGTGCGGAAATGTGCGGGAACACCCTGCAAGATGGTAGCTTTCATATCTTTCACCGTCTTCACCCAAAGGTCTGATTTGTATATAGGTGAAAGCGAGCTGCCGATCGTCAAAAGGATTCCAATGGACTTGGGAGACGAGGAAGAGATTCTTGGAGGCAACATAACAAGTCGGTGATGCCAAGTGCCTTTGAATGCCTCACCCAAGCAACCCTATCAAAATAACATGGCCAGTTGTTGGTCCCGCTTGGTCGTCAACAACCTCCGATCATCCCACCGGGTTTCCGCCCGCCAACCTCCGATCATCTTCCATTCAAATCATGCTCCATGGGACTTCCCATGTAACAATGTACACCAGCAGTCACAAAGGGGTGCCCTGTCTGGAAGCCTATGGGTAGTGCGGGGTAGTCCAGCCAGGACACCCCGACAGGAGGGTCCAGGTATGTTGGGTTCTCGGGAGGCCTCCGCTTTTCACCACTTCCCTTGGGGGCCGAGAACGGTGCTGGGGCCCAGACTTCACGGCGGCCCAGCTGGCCGGCAGTGCCGAGCCCAGCTTCTGCACCAGCAATTCCTTGGGACTTATGGGAAGATGGTGTGAAAGGATGGAGAAAAAACAGGAGCTTTGGGCGGTCGATGGGCCTAAGGAGACAAACTGTCCCCACCCCACCAAGCTGACCAGTGGGCCTCAAACAGTCTGAGAAATGGCCAGTGAATCACATCGGTGCCGCAAAATGAATCCAGTAGACTGAGTCAGACTCTCCGGAATCTACTTCGAAGGTCACGACTTCCTGGACTGGACTCACCCGTCAAACAAGGCATCTCTTTTGGCTTCTTTCTCCCGTCCGGAAACTAACCCGAAGTGAAACCGTCAGCACCTTCCGTGGCCACTCCGTCGGTGGCCCCCCTGAGCTTTCGGGGGGAGGCGACCCCGAGTCGTTCCCTCTGTGTTGGCTTGGTCCCGTCCTGCCGAGGGTTTCACCTTATATAGCGCGACTGCATGCTACTGCCATCTCATGTCCAGCCACCGTCTTGGCACTGGGGTTTCACCTTATATAAATCCTTATAGTAGCGCAAAAGGGGCCAGGGTCCGAGCAACACGCCCAAGCATGGCCAACCCGGTTCCAAGCTTAATATGATGCTATAGCCATACTCGAGTTTGCACCTCGGTCGGGCCGTTCCACGCGAAGCGCTGGTTCGGATGCCCAGGATCTGCCAGCTCATCCTCAGAGTTGCACAGGCTGCCAGGTTCTGTTGGGCCGATTCATCAGGGGATTAGGCCGAGTCATCAGGGGTTTTTATTCCTACCGCCCTTGGGTGATCTTTGTGTTCTTCCCCTTGAATCTGACAATTTGTGATATAAGTTTGAAAATAGCATTGGACAATCTGTTAAAAAGGCGTGTAATTGATCGCACAGAGCCTCTTGAATTTGGTTGCAGGAGAGTGAGTTCACACTTCTTTCGATCCAGTTGCAACAAACTTTTTTGCCGGAAACATACCGGAGGCACAGTTGTGCCCGCTGGCAGGGTGAGCGTTCATGGCGATGGATGAAGGTTTGGCGGAAAACAAAGCTTGTGTTTGGTGAACAGAATTTCCAAAAGAGTATCCTTCAGCTCAGGAGGTGGCCCACAAACTGTTGTACCTGAAAACATTCATACCAGCGGAACCAAGACCCTTGAAAATTGTAGGGTCAGTGGGGAAAACCGGGTTTTGCAGGGAAGAACCGGGTTCTTGATTTTCAAGGATTTTGATGATTTCACCAAATATCACAAAATGCTTCATGAGTCTTCAATCCCTTCATTCCACAACACATCCCCCTCCCAAAGTGCAATCACTCAAGTCAACGCCTTTTTACTGCGGTTTGATCCATCCACGATCCACCCAATGCTTGAAGGTTGCATTCAATGATCTCTCCAAAGTTCGGACGACCACCTGAGTCGGACTGACTCTCCGTGAAAGGCGCGAAACCTTTCCGATGTAATCTTCGGAGCACTGCACAGCCATGCACAGTGGGTTGAGGCTCCAAACACCACGACTCGCGTCATGTCGCAACTGATGCCAAACATGAGCCACCAAATGACTCTTGGGCATGTAGCAAAAAAAAGCTTGTCCCTCATCATAGCACCTCTTCGCTAAATCCTGAAACATCTGTAGGAAACGAAGTCCACATGAAGCGGCCTGCATCGCAACATTGGGCGCCAGCCACAAATCATTGGAATAAAGGATGTGGAAAGCTTCATTGATCAACTTGCAGCCCCCTTCACAAGACTTCAAGAGAGAACCCTCCACAAGGCGCAAAGTTTCTGTCCATGACAAGAAGAACCTGATGAGCGTCAATGTAATATGGCCTTTGCTCCACTGGCCGTTCGGGAAGGTACCCCGGTCTGGCCAACCGCAACCTTCCTTCGTGATCGAGTTCAAAAACCCTGAGGTTTTGTGATCATCCAACCAGGTAATATACAGAGCAGTGATCTGCTCAAAGCGTTCGTCCACGCTTGAAGCCGTCATGGCATCACTCATGATGCAAAGACAGGTAGCTGCCCATACCTTGCCCAAGCCAAGATGGAATCCATGCCATATATCCCAAGCATAGAATGCCTGGGGTTTCTCAGGGCAATGTGGAAGTTCCAACAGCTGAGGGCGACGCAAGAATGGATTGTCTCCAAAAAGGGTTTGCAGCCATGCTGGAGTCAAAGACATGTCCTCCCACGGGTAGCCATCCTTCCCTGCAGCGCACCAATGGCAAATCCCCTTGGGGACCGAGGATGCCGACTTTGGTCGTTTCTCGCAGTTATGGAATGATCTGCCCAAGTTTGCACTTTTCACAAGCCACGCCCAGTCCCCTGTCACTGCTATGCAAACGGAGTGATACTGCAAGCCGTTGTGGCAAACACCTTCATTGAACATGGAAGCAGCGTCGTCTTTGACAAAGTTCATAACACACTCGAAGCCGATCTCGTCCTTGAACATCTTGGGTAGTACACAAGTCAAAAGACGGTGTGACCAGGTAGACCCGGTGTAATTCAGCCGCATTCGAATGTAGGGGCGATTTTGCCTTGTAGCGTTGGCCAACGAGGTCCCGCTACCCATCAGCGAAGACCAGGCGATGACAAGGAAGGCCTGCCGCTTCCTGCCACGGCCTTCGTCGCCGTGCAGCAAGAGAGGATATGTGCGTTCCAAAGGAAGCTCTCCAGCGTCCACTTTCTCCCACATCTGATGTGTGGGCTCCAACTGCCGGTAGTGAGACCAGAAGGCCTTCAAGATAGAAGACTCTCGCTCTGCGTCCGGGGCCTCCAAACCCACAAGGATGTGGTGGATATTGTATCGCAGCATGTATCCAAACCAATCCTTCAGACTTAAGGCTTTGAGCTCTCCTGTGTACCGCATACCCGGCCGCTTCTCGATGGTATGCAGCTCCAAGTCTATGGACATCGACAGCTTCTTGGACACTAACGTGTGGACATCCCTCTCAGAATGGTGCAAGCTGCACTTGGCAAGCTCCGCCAGGCCTCTTGACTTTTTTGCGGCTGGCTCTCCTATGTCATTTGTCACGCCTCTTGCCATCCGAATGGCCGCCCTGCAGGAGGTGGCCTTGGCGAAAGCTGCTTGGTAGTAAGCGTGCAAACACTCGTTTTGGTACAAAGCTCATACGCAAAACTCATTTGTCATTTCCATCAGTCACAGGTTACTCACTAGTCAAGAACACAAGGAATGCTGGCAGTACGCTCTCAATGTTTTCAGCGTATGCGCTCACACGCGTCCGTGCAGAAAGGCAATTAGGAAAGTTTTGGTGAGTCCAGGCATCCAGCGCCCCGACACCTTGATGCGACCATGTGCGATGCAGCTATGCATTGCTTTACGCACCATGGTGTTGCACATTAATTATCCACACTGCGCAGCCATTTTGTGATATAGCTGTCACAACATCAATGTGGTTTAAATTTGAAAGACCTGTGCACTACATAACAAAAGAAAGCACCTTCCAACGACTTGTTCACTGTATCACCTCCTTTGCGTTGATTTCTGCACCCTGGTCTACCTGGGGAGACGAAAAAGACAAGTTTTTTTTTCATAACGTGGTGTGTTCAGGTGTCTTTAAGTGTCTTTACAAATACCCTCAAAGCATTGCACAACTTGGCTTTTCTTCCAGGGACCTTCATACTTCTCGATGAGTGCTGCCTCCAACATAGCTGGACCATAGGGCTCCATGCTCCCATAGAGCACAGTCATGTTAGACCACTTATCCTGTGAGTGCATGTACCCATACACTTTGTTCTCCCACCGCCAAGCCGGGTTGTGAGTAAAGCCAATTTTGAAGATCATAGGATCATACTTGCTGAACAAGCCTTCTATCACATTCACAGCGTGTTGAAGAATTCGACCTGCTGTAACCGTAGACTTTGGCAATTTCAAAGCTATGCAGCCTATGCGCTCTGCTTCGGCAGACATGCTTTGAAGGCGGGATTCCAGGAAAGCATCGGAGGGCAAAGAAGATGTTCGGTGTTGGGTCCCTTGCTCTTGTTTTGAAAACCCCATACCAGATTCTGTTGGGCATTCTGTTTGTTTGACCAGAGTCGTAGGCCCGAAAGAGTAGCGCCAAGCATAAGGCGTTCCATCTTCCTTGCATATGGCACACCCATGCATACAAAACAGGTTACAAAGGCATTGCGAGTAAAGAACTTTTGACAAGAGTCAGGGCGATGACAACTTAAAAGATCAATGAGCTCCTCTTCCATGGTTTCATCATGCATCATAGGGCCATTGCTCATCATGACCGACCGGCGCTCCCAATTGTCAGACATTTAAAGGCTTGGTTTGTGGCTGCATTGATGTTTAGAAGTGTGCGTGATCGAAACTATATACGTCAAGACCTGCACGCATATAAGTTGAACAGTTGAATAACAGGGCTGCAAGCGTGCAATATCGGCCATGCTGTTTTTATTTGCGCATGAGAGAGATTGTACGCCACTCTGTCTCATTTGGGCTGGCTGATTGAGGCCTGCGCTCCTTCGCCAATGTCCCCGGCTACAGTACGAAGAGCTTGTCCGGGACCTGGCCCATGTGCGGTGCAGCGGGAAAAGAAACCATGCAACGAGCGCACACCTTCTCAAGTTGTACAGATGCATATGACCCCTGCGTCGCTGCAACATGTTGTTTTCATCGACGCTGCTCCGTGCCATTTGCCCCTGGCACTGACTGTTATTGATCTTAAACTGATGTGTCCAGTCCAAGGACTCCACTACAGATACAGAACACACAGTGACATAAATTGATAAGCTATTATATGTCGTATATGCAGAAGCCATGAACAAACTACTCATTGAACATGACAGTGGAGACATCAAACACACCCAAAAAGCATCAAATAGCCACTGCAGGGTCTATCCCACACTATATAGGTAGGTTTCCCACATGTGGCATTGGTGCAAGGCATATTGTTCACTTCTTGCGTGCCACCTTTCTGGCAGGTGCACCACCCTTGGAATCAGCCACGGCCGCCGCAGCCTTAGCAGCCTTCGAGGCTGATGGGCGTTTCCTGCTGTCCTTCTCATTGGCCTCTGCACCCGCCTCCCGTGTCTTGCCCTTGGAATCCTTTGAATCAGCTTTCTCATACCGCTTGGCATTCCTGACTTGTGGCCAAAGGTGGTCAAGAGCGTTCCAGTCATACACATGGGCTGTATTAAAAAGAAAAGCACTGATGTGATTGCATTTTTGTTCCTTGAAGTCTTGAACTGAGGCCGGATGGAAGAAAGCTCATTGATCACCAAGGCACCGGGTTTTCATCTCCACAGCGCAAGCCGCACTGCGCCTCAACACGAGTATGAAGAAGAGACATGGCAAATGTTTACTTTGGGTTGGGCCAGTCGATCGACAAAGATTTCTTCCAAGAAACACAAAGGTCGCAGACTTCATCTTGGCAGTGGCATCATTGACGAACCTCATGTTGTTATTGCCCGCTCACCCGCTTTTTGCAGATCAGCTTTTCGGGTTGAAACATGTGCTCAGTCACTGCAACAAGACCACAGGGTTTGTGTGAGTTATATAAGTTAAGTAACGCGTCATTGAATCCGTTGACCTCTCCGGTGGCCATGCAATGATTGCATGCGTCATACTCCTTGTCCAACTTATCCAGCTGACCACGTAGAAGCCCAACATGCCTGAGATGGGTAAGGACTAGCCTACAACGTGGTAATTCAAAACAAGATCTTGACAAAGGACAGGGTGTTTTGATTGGCAATGTGTTTAGTGTGTAGATTTGATTTTCAGGCACGTGTTCATCAACGAATTGTTCTTGTACTTCTCTGTCAATTCCCTGATCAATCCACGGATTTTGCCGGACTTCTGTAGCATGGAGTCCAAGAACTTTCTCAGTGATGCTTTCGTCTGCAGGGACAATATGAATGAACTCATGCATGGGTGTTGACCCCTCTAGCATGCATATGAGCATGTGCAGCTATATAGGAAACATTCTTTGATATTCTTTGTTTCAACAACATTGGCCTCCATGTGTTGCGCATTGGACCCGTTCCCCCCACCAGCCGGCGTAGCTTTCGCAGCCGCCTCACGTTGCTGAGCCGTCGCCAGGGCAGCAAAGCTCTGGTCATCGACTGCTGGCACGTCAGAAGCCTACGTACACGCAGGGAAGGCAAAGGATTGAGTGGCCAACGGATTCTAGTCAACCATGATGCAAGGCAGAACAAAACATTGTGCCTCAAGTTGTTTCTTTTGCCTTTTGGTTTCTTCCTTTGTTTCTTCTTGTTCTCTCTGGCCCTTCTCTTTGATCACAACATAGTACTCCTCGACTCCATCATATTGATTCAACCTGCATGCCACTGCGTCAGAATGTTGACTTTAATGAATTGGAATAGTATATCACTTTTATATAGCATAGTTCCAATGACCAAGGCAAGCAGCCGGATGTGTGTAGATCTTTTGGCCTCGCATGCCTTCTTAGCCCCAGCAATCCGCTGCCTGGGACGGTTGGGGGTGCATGGTCCGGTCACAACTGCTCAGCAGTACACAACAGTATTTGCTGTCAAAATACGGTGACCAGTGCAGGTCATCCCTCATCTCCTTCTCGGATGCCCACACCTCATCCACAGTGATCTTGATCGTGGCCTTGCGCCTCACAATGATCTCAAGCTCATTGATGAAGTCATCCTGCCAGTCAGGTTGAGCATGGTTGAGCACACTACAAATTGCTGCTTCGCAAGAACAAGTGCTGGAGACTAGTTTTGTGTATATTTGCAAATATTGCAAATCAACTATTGCACCAGACCTTGGACCAATTCTGCTGCATCAACAATTGAGCAAGCTCATTCTTATCACGCTTCTTGAATTCGCTCATCACCCACTCTGGGACGTCCATGCTCTTTCTTCGCTTCTTAGGAGTGCACATCCGGCGTAGGCGCTGTTTGGCCGCCTCTCTCAGGCGCTCCTATATGTGACACATGGGTCTTTACGATGGGACAATGGGACACGAGGAAACAAACATATATGACTTCATGAGGAATGGGCACTGGGCCCGCTCCTGGCGTGTCAACGTCCGCTTTGGATGCGTCCCAGCATTTCCAGACTCTGCTGCCGTTGCTTCAAGCTCACATGAAGTCTCAAGTTTCTTTGAGTCTGAATCTTCTGGCTTCTTCTCAGGTTTCTCTGAAGTTTCTATGGTTTTAGTTTCTTTCGCTTCCTCTTGCTTTTTTTCAGGTTCTCTACTCACTGCGCTGGTCACTTCCTTTGATTCCACTGGAACCGTTGCCGGCAAAGCTGGAACAGGCTCTTCCTGCGCATCCGTAAACATGTATATGTATATAAACATGAGTCACACCATGCAATTGCATTTCTATAAAAACACATCTCACGTATTGTCCTTTTCAAGTGGAACCAAAGATTGTTCCTTACTTTGTTCCATGTTGTTCGACCCTCAACTGCATAGTTGATTCCAAGCAGTGCGCAAATTCAATTATGATAAAGCCAAGATTCCAGACTGGCCGGCTGTGTCTCCTCATCAGGCCCGGCTTCCTGAGTCGGAGTTGAAGGCACCTGCACGGCCGCGGAAGGGGGTTTAAGCGTTTGCGGTTGCAGCGCACCAAAGACAGTATATATCAACTGAGCCATGTACAAGGGATTCCTGTGGCATTGACATGGATGTCATTCGGTTCTCCAAGTCCTATCGCTGAAAAGCCCGGCCATCAGAAGTTGAGGTTTCACAAACTCTGCAGTCTCAAAAGCCATTAATACAACACACCATTGACCCAAAACGCGCAATCCTTAATGAGCTTTTCCATATTCTCAACCTGCTCATCGTTCTGATGAGCATCAGCCAGGATTTGGTCAATGCCATCCTGAAGGGTTGCGCACGACCACCGCTTGGAACCGACCTCAGCAGCCTTGGAAGTCATGGGCGGGCAAGACGATCAGTCTATCACAGGTTCAGATTTCAAGCAAAATGCTGCAACAGGTTCCTGATACCGATCGAGCGTGCACTTTCGGTTGTGTTCACATCTTGCACTGGTAAAGGCTCTTGTGCAAGCAGTGTTTTTCATGCCCATGTCAATTGGCAAACGGTGAGCGTCCACATGAGTGGAGATTGTGTTGAAAAACACAGTCTCGACTCCGATGGACCTGGACCCCCTAGAACCCATATTTCGAGTACGGGTTAGTACGGGTTAAATATGGGTTCTGTACGGGTTAAATATGGGTTCAGAAGAACCGGGTTTTCCACTGCGGAAAGGTACAATACGGGTTAAGTACGGGGTAAATACGGGGTCTGTACGGGTTAATTTCGGGGACCCCACTTTTTCCCTCCCAAGAAGTCAAAAAAGCATAAAAATCATACATTAATCTGATTCGAGTCAGATCGGGATCGGGTTAGGATCGGGATCGGATGAGATTTTCAGGTTCAGTGCTTGAAAAGGTGTCCAGGTCCACCTGATGGGTACACTACAGGCACAAACTTGCGCCAGTGGGGTGGAATCCTCAAGTCCCGACCCCCGCGCAAGTAGGTGTAAACCTCATCAAGCCGAGCCCATTTGAGGCCAACGTGATCATCCTTCAAGTTTTGGAAGGACTGAAGCGCACTGGGAACTCCGCTCGCCGGCACCGGTGCCCTACCACAGCTCGTTTTGACAAGGTCAGGGAAGAGGTCCACCAGCGCATTGGCGAACTGCATTGGATACTCCCTTGGCAGAGCAGTTGGGGATGGTTCAGCAGCTGGTGTGGCATGTGGTGGGTCAAAAACATAAATGAACGCTTTACCATCTGGATTTTTCTGAGGGTCTGTGTAGATTTCAACTTCGATGTTCCTTTGAAACATACTTTGCCATCACGGTTCACGTATTGTTCACAAGTCTTGATGGCTGGTTGAGCAGCTTCTGATTCGTCGCGCGCCCTCTTGAAACCACGGTTGAGCCTCTCAACAACTGGGCTGTTGCAGTATGCCCAGTGAGGCTTCTCTGTGGGTCCTCCATAGGATGCCATATGCCAAGTGCCCCTGAAGACCTAAACAGAAACGATAACAATGGTGCACCACATAAGGATTGCACGTGGACTGGTTGGGTTTACAAAACATATTCAGGGTGCTTGGGTCCAGACTGCTGATTTTCCACTCGCATTCAAAAGGCTAAGAAGCAGCTCTTGGAAAGGAGGAAAGAAGTCAAGGCATGACCCCCGAGGCTGCTCCAGCAGCCAAGTCCCGCCAAGAGCAGTGATCACATACACCAGGAATATAGTCCTCACAGCCGTGGCACCAGCACACCAGCAGGGTTGAGCAGATCGGTATATATATATATATATGGAACATATGTATCAGGTCCATGCAGGATATATAGAAAAGCCCTTGTGCCCATTAAGAACCAAGAAACCGAGCAGCCATGGTATTGGCATCTGAAACACTTGTGTAATCCTCATGTCCAATGCTGGCGCAAGCTGACCGGTTGGACGTTCCACGGTTCACTGGTGTCCAACTGCTGCACTTGATTGCAAGGACCGCAAAGAACTTCCGGATGACAGCTTTCAGCGTGGCAACCAAGGCTAGACTTAGAGAAGCGGTTGCTTGCGAAAATGAGCTGATCGAATGAATGGGATTGTTGAACATCATAAGGAAAGGCATCCAATTAGGCTTGGACTTGAACCTACTCTTTTCAGATTGCACCCATTCAAATCAAAAAGGTAGGGAATGGAACTTTGAAATGCAACCATCAGCCCGGCCATTTTTTACACTCGAGAAAAACAGAGACACGTTGCAACAGATGGGAAGCAAGCATATATATATATATATAGGCAAGACATGGTGACCCAAGATTTATACAGTTTTGGTGGGTTTCCTCTTCAACTTTACCACACCGCATGTACAAAGAAAGCATACTGCATATATATAATTATGTGGCTTGCCCCCTTGCCGAAGGAAACACCCAATTACAAGTTCAGTCAGCTCACCAGAAGCCGCTCCGGGAATTGATGTCCATGGGGTTGGATCCATAGTCCCTGACCTTCCTGGACCCTGGATAGAGAATATCAAAGCACGCAACCCGGAGGCCACTTGCCCTCATGGACCTTGTCACATTTCCAGTGCCTGCAAAGAACTCGAGCATGTCGAACTGGAGATCATCCTGACAGTGCGAGGGTGTTCGGATTAAGCAATCCAATCCTGTCTTGGGATTTGAGGTTTGCAGACTTCCCACATACAGGTGAAACCATTCGATATAATTTAGAATCAAAACATCAAGACTGGCTGATATATAAACCCAGGTTTCTATATAGTTGGCAGAGGTGTGTGACAGTGCACCACAAAAGCAACCAGCTGGTACTGTTTGTGAGCTTTGAGACCTGGAGAAGCTCAGCCCAAGTCCTGCAGCTTGTCCAAGGATGGTGTCCAAGTGACCATCAAGATTATCAAAGCCAGGACCTCAAGAGAGGCGAACGTCATGGGTCACCATATGCTCGATCCATCTATATAGTCATGCTCATGCCTTTCTGTATATAAAGATTTCAAGCGTGCATTTATAAGCCTCAGACACGAGGGCACCCTAGCTGCTGCAGCTGAAACATGAAGTGATCCATCTCTTCAGATTCATGGGGAATGGTCTCCATTTCACATCCCCCGCCAGGGCCAACCAAATACTTCTCTGTTTGAGCGGGCGAGGTTGGCGCACAGGATGCATGAGAGGTCGGGGAATCGTCTCGCGAGCTGTTGTTCGACGACATGGCCCCCATTTGGCTAGTCCCCTAAAGCGCAACTAGGATCTGACCATGAGATGGGCGACGGGAAGTGCGCCACATGTGCACTGATCCTTCTCCAGAATTTAAGGTCAAAAGCTCGGCCACGCGTGAGATAAATCTAAACTTCACTCACTCTCACTCCCACTCCCCACAAACAGGCCAGCTTTTCGACCATTGCCCTTTTGCTTCTTCTGGCGTCGCACGCGCACCCTCCAGACGTTCCCTCTGAGGCGGGGCATCCGGCGAAGCTAGCTGCGCGAAGCGTCATGAGGCCTGCATGGCAGAGGGACTGGTGCAGGATTCAATACGCATGGATCTCGAGGCTCAATGGTATGGGGATGAAGTTTGTCCATTAATTATGGAACTATCTTTTATCCACATGGGGCATGACGGAATCAAAGGACATAATTGCATGTATCGATCTCGATCGATAGCGTCGGAAACTGCATGAGAAAAAACTGCACCAATATGCACACCCCCGAGAAACAAAGCGACCGATGAAGTTAAAAGTGCAGCCGATTCTTTTTCTCCAATGTCCTGGACGATTGGCTCACTTCAGAAACTACGGACGGCAAACATCCCTGCCAAGCAGAGAGAAACCCTGTATACACTGCCCGCCAACCATAAGTTTCCAAGACATGCATTCGAAGTATCTATATACGAATGGAAGTTGAAGAACTGGAATCCATGTACAAACGCTCAGGAGAATGGACTGCAGGACAAGTGTATACACCCCCAAATGCCGGTATGCGCGTCTATTGCGTGCAGTGTCGCAAAGGCAAGCCCTGGCCAAAGTCCTATGCCAAGGATCTCAATGCCTATATTTTCATCAACTTTACAGCTCAGGCTTTCTCAGGTGGAGTCTCCTCATTTGCAAAAAGAAACAGCACGTGACCAGCATTGTACTTCAACTTTGTCATGAAGTCACCATTTTTCTCATATTCCTCACCGGCTTCCATCCCATGCACCTGAGATGTGAGGGAAGCAGAGTCAAAAGATCGATCAGTCAAGCTGATTTGACATAATCACAATTCACCGTTGTAAGGCATGTTTCTGCAATGCGTGTGTGTGTATATTTGTCAAGGTACCACAAGTTCCGAACACTTGATGGCCATGCACACCTTGTAAAGGTCGTTTGCCCATGATGAACCGAAGCTGAAATGATGAATATCCTTTCCAGACTCCACAACATGCACTCCACAGGTGAGTCGTGTCCAGTAAATGTTGAGCTTGTACTGATCACCGATGTTCAGCATGTTACGAACTTCTGTCTTGTACCGGGTGTTCCTTATCGCATCCTGCGGGGCATGCTCTGTTGCCTCCTTACACCAGTCAAACAACTGCTTGACCAGTTTGTCATCATACAGCTCCTCCCGCTCCTCCATTTGGTCAGCATGTTCATCCTGGTTCTTGCGAGCTCGTTTTGCTTTGGGCTTACATTCAGAGGCCTTGGGCCGAGGGCTTGCTTTGGCCTTTGCCTTTCCCTTTGCACAAGGCTTTGTCTTGGTCTGCCCATCCGGTGAACCCTTTGCCTTTGATCCTTTTGCCCTGGTTTGCTCCTCTGTTGGCTCGTCTTCCATTGGATGCTCAGCCTTGGCAGGTTTGGCATTCTTGGGCTTGGCCCTGGCTTTGCGCTTTGGGACAGCCTTGCTGGCAGTAGCCTTGCTGGAACTTGCCCTCTCCTGTGCTGGCCACTGTGCTGCCAGTTCCTGTGCCTCTTTACGAGCCTTACGGGCTTTGCGGGGCTTGCGTGTCTCTTCTGCCCCTTGCTCGTTGTTGCGAGTGCTGGATGCTGCTTTCTGATGAAGAACCTTTCGCTTGCGGCCTTTGGGCACTGATGTCAGTGTCTTGGCCTTCTTTCCTCTGGTGCGCTTTCCTTTGTGTTTTTTTGTTTTGGCCGAACCTGTGGCACCTTTCCCTTTCTTCCTGCTTGCCTTCTTCTCAGCCTTGCGTCTCAATTGTTGGTCTCTGGTGACAAAGGTCACAGAGCCTGTGGTCCCCTCACCAGCTCGTTCACCAGAGTCCTGGCGTGACCAGCACAAAGGACAGGGAAGGAGCACGTTCACATCACAGGTTTTTGCTTATGCACATTTGGAGTGTTTGCCAACTGCGCATGCAATATCCAGAATTCGCTGAAATAAATAATGTTCAAAAATGCATTTGGCAAACTTGAATCCTTGAACGACTCAACCTTTGCCGCAGGCTCCGCTGGCACAGCTGAGATCGGAGCAGGTGCCTTGTTGGGAGCAGAGTTTTTGAACTGCTTCCTCAACTCCTCAGTGGGAAGGCTGGGTGACATAGAGGGCCCCTGTGAATCCGTTCTAGCCGGGGTGGGCAGCTCCATGACATCCATAGCCTGTGTCTCCACATTGTCACCACATCCTGCATGGAAGCACGGTGTAGATTATATAGATATTTTCCAACTCAATCGGTTGAACCTGTTGAAACAATGTTGAAACATGCAAATATATAGATGGTCCTGTGTGTTGCTGAACCTGCCCTTTGCGACTTTGGGGTTCCATACTCTCAGCCTTCATCCTCGCGATGGCTGTGGCGAAGCGTGCTTTTTGATCTTGAAGCCTCAGCGGCAACCTACACCATACCAAAAACTTAAGAAGAACCATGCATTCGCATGCATTGTCAATCGGGGTCAGCCATTAAGGTCTTCAATTTTATAGGTTTAAATTGCTCATGGATGCAGGAATTTGAGGTTTGTGCCGTGCCAATTTTTCTTTTGCAGCTGCCAAGGCTTCTTGAATTGCTGGAAGGGCCGTCGGAATGGTCACGGCCAAAGCTGGATCACCTTAAAATTACAATCCACAAAAGAGCAAATGAGGACACTGCATGTGATGTGTGTTCTAGAACATTTCTCTTCCATGCGCATGCGCTTCCCAACATGCAGTTAAGTGTCACAAACCACCTTGGAAGGTCTACAGAACGAAACAAGTGGTCCGAGTCCATACCTGGGTTCCGGACTTTCGTCCGCAGGTTGTTCAGCCGGCGGATCTTGCACTGGCTGATGTGGAGGACTCCGACCCGGGGATTCCAGGAAGATGGGCTGAGAGTCTGGGGAAGGCAAGGCATTTGATACGGGGATGTCTTGCCCAACAATTTCACCCGTGATCTCGACATCTGAGTCTTGGTCATCCTTACCAGCATCAGACTCATCATCGTTGGCCTCAGACTCCTCGTCATAGGTGTCCGGGTCATCAGGCTGGCCCCCCTGGCAACAAACCGTTTTTTTGTGCAACACAGCCACCGTTCATGATTGCATCCATCATGAGCAAAGTGTGTCTATTGATCAAACAGGGCATGCGGACGTCCATCAACTGTTTTTGCTTTCGTCGCTCTTCGACTTTGGCATTGACATCGTCCACCGTTTCCTGCGATATACATGCCAGTTCTTGGTTTCAAAGGTCCAGGTATTGATTTTGAAGGTCATCCCAAAAACAGTCAGAGCTGACAGCATGTGAGAATATTCATTTTCACATATTCTCACCAGTGTCCTGGAGCATAGGGTTGAGGATTAGGCAAAGTTCCTGGAATCGCTGTGCCTTAGCTATGGACTGGCACAACGTGGCCTATATAACAGATCAACTCTCCACGTGAGTCAATATAGGAAATGCGACGCCATACAGTTAACAAATATACCACATACGTTTACGAGCCAACGTGAAACAGATAAACGCATTCAAAGTGCTGTTGACACCTTGTGCCTCCTCACCTTCATTTTCAAGAAAGAAATGAACTTGCGTAACATCCATGCATCTGCATGAACTGTGGGTTCTTCAACTTGTCGACCACAAGATTCATACAACTTCTGGACCTCCTGTCTCAGGGGAACGATGGGTGGGACTGGATGGTCCTCAAAGGTTGCCATGTGGATCACTGTGGTCTTCACAACCTCAAAGATCGGGTCAACGCACACAGACTTCACGCTCTCCACACAGTTCTCCGGGAAAAGGGTCTCATTGCCCGATCTGAGGAACTTCCTAATCACCTCGTTGGATTCCAACTCGCTCGCCAATCCACCCATATCAATCCGCGGTTCCGCCGCGGTCCGTGGCATGGTGGTAGCAAAGCGGAATCCCAAAGCCAAAATGAGCTGCGCTCATTGAGTGACAACTTTTGTAGACTCATGTGTTTCAACACGATAATTATTATCAAAATATATAGGAACAGACTGCCCATCTCATTAATTGGAAATGCTCTCAGCTGGTACCATCCCTGCTCCACGACCCAGGAGCCCGCCTCGTCGAAGAGATCCAGCGGATGGAAAACATTGGATGCGCATCATCACGGTGTGTTGCCGTGACAGGGAGGGTTGTTCATGAAACCATTGTCATCCACGGCCCTGTTTGCATGGAGGGTTCATCATGTTGTGACGCTTCGAACCATGCAATCTGAAGAACATTCTTCTTGTTTGCTTCTGATTGGTGATGACCCTTGATCCATGCTTGCAGTGAGGCCCTTGTGGCCTCAAACGGCACCAAACTTCTGTATAACTATGGCTACATGCAATCATTCCTGAAGAACCGGGTTCTTAAGAGAAGAACCGGGTTTTTACCATCATGTCTCTGTGAAACCGGGTTCTGCACAGAGAACCTTCTTTTTTCTAGGTTCCAGGTTCTATAGGTAAATCCAAAAAAGTCAGGCGGGACAATATTTGTGGCAACATTGTGAGAATTTGAATGTTTTTTAATTACTATTTCTGGGACTTAACCCATGCTGCAGATGCAATTTCGATGCTTACAATAGTTTTTTTGTTTGTGTGTTTGCGCCTTGTCAGTGTGATATTGAACAGTTGTCTGAGTTGTGAGGCGTTTTCAGGATATCTGAACCAACTTAGAATCCTATGTCTTCAACAAAAAAATTCTATTTATCTCTTTCATCCATTCTCTTCTAGGGCCCTGAAAAATGAGAAAAATCGATTTTCCACACACTTCATTCGCGAAGGCAATCAGCATCTGAACAACATGTGTATGATGATGGTTTGCAAATAGAGTCTTCTGCTTTCTTGATGGGCATTGCGTCGATTAGGCCGAGTCATCAGGGGATTAGGCCGAGTCATCAGGCGACTTCATCATCAGTGTCATTGACAAAAAGAACCACCAGAGTTGAAATACACCTGTTTGGTCTTCGGACATGTTCATCCGAGGGGCCATGCCATAAATGCATTCTCCACTTTTCAATGAATTTGTCAGAAAGTGTAATACACACACTCCATGTATTATGGCATATGCATTGATCTGCATTTGACCTCTCTAATCACCCCTTCAAGTGGCTTAGTCCATGGGAGTAAAACACACAAAAAATAGTTCTTCCTCAGGGTTCCCATGTCTTCAGTCTTCAGTCGCTTCAGTTCGGCTGGTGGCCAGGTATCACACCCAAGGAAGAGATTCTAACGGAAACCCATGTAGCGTTTTCTGTGATCCCAGCACGTCCGTCAAACAAGTGGGTCCCACGAGGGCGTCGTGAGAGGTGTTCACCAGAAAAATTCAATCACCTAGATCAGAGAAGGATTAGATCAGAGCAGGGTCGCATGAAATTTTATGTTTTTTATTTTTTTGCATTTTTTCACATGTTTTGATCAATTTTCCACATTTTTAAACATATTTTCACATTTTAAAGCATCTTTTCACATGTTTTCATTTTATTTTGTTTCTTTCTTTTAATGTTACTTTCTTTTGGGACAACACCTCAAACACAACATGGTTAATCAAATTGTGTTTCTTGGGGAGAAGTTATCCTAACAGCTGAACACAACTGACCGCAGCAGTCATATCACGCTCCAGTTTGCATGTGAAATTATGTGTTTGCATCTTTTTGCATATTTTCTCATGTTTCGAGATTTTTTGAGTTGTCAAAATGATTTTTCCTTTTATCCCCTCGAGATTTTTTGAGATGTTTCGAGATTTTTCGAGATGTTTCGAGATTTTTTGAGATTTTTCGAGATTTTTTGAGATGATTGTTGCTAAGATTTTCATTTAAAACATTTTTTCATTTTTTTGCATTTTAAATCTCTTATCGAGATTTTAAATCTCTTTGGAAAGTATTCCGTTCCAAACCTCTCCGGTGAAGGTTATTGAATTTTTTCGGTGAGGTGTGCTATTTTTTGGTCGTGCTTCGTGAAAACACGGGCTGGGGGGGGGGGGGGGGCAATGGCGTCGATTTTCTTTAGTTCGTTCACTTGAAGATAACTTCGTACTTCGTTTATTTTAAAACAACTTCGTAACTTCGTTTGCTTTACAGCGGCGGTACTCCTGCGTGGCCTACAAAGGCAAAGGAAGCTCACAATAAACTAAAGACAGTGCAGGTGAAACATGTGAAGCAACAGTTGACGAAGAAACTCAAAAAGAAGCCTACACCCACGTCGTCGAAGATATATAGGTGGAACACAACTGGCTGACAGCTCATGGAAGAGCTTGAAAGCTTGGATACCCAAGCATGTGAATACAACCTTTGCAAAGAGTCGAGCTGTCAATCCGGAACTCTTGAACTATGTTTGGAGTTGGCAGCTTCCGTACGACAACAGAGGCAATGATCTCTTCCGAGCAGGCAGCGCCGCAAACGCCTAAATATATCAAACACTTCTCCGAAAACGATGTTTCGCCTGCAAATTGAATACATTTAGCAAACAACAAAAAACAAAAAACTCTTGCTAGAAAACGAACAAAGCGCAAAAACGATGACTCTCATTTCATGAGACTTTGCGTACACCAACCATGCAAATTAGCGCGACGCCTTCGCGACGTCCATCCCTTTTGTTTTTCACCCAAGCATCTAAGCCATCCTTCTTCGCAGCCTTGTAGAGGTCCAGCATCGGGCCCCTGGGCTGAGCCGATGTGATCAAGGACCGTCTCACCTATGTCCCCCCAAATCCCCACCCAAAAAGGATCTGGACACGACACAACCCTGCTTACATCTGCTTACAGTCCAATTGCATGTTTTTGTGATTGATGTTTTCTGTGAAGCAACCACATTGCACCACTGCCAGGCCCCTTCTTTGAGGCGGCTTTGTGCACTACCCCCTGGAGTCTTCCTTGGTGGCCGCGGGATGTCATCGTGACATGGCGAAAGGTGCAACGAAGAGATGCTGCTATGATTGGGCCTTGACTTCCCTTCAAAGGAACAAGTTGCAGCATGCCCTATGTGGAAACGGGGCAGGTGGGTCGCGCACCACTGCGCGAAAGAGAAAGAGAGCGAAGTGCGAGCAGATCCAGTTGCGGGTTTTGATTTGTCTCAGCTTGCTCCACTGCTCATGCTTTTGCAGCAGGTTTTAGCTTTGGTTAACAGCGGCAGTTTTGATTTGCAAGACGTGTTGCAAAAGTTAGGTGCTGTGATGAACGGTTCTTCCAAGAAGGGAGGGACTAACACACCGACCAAAAAGAGGCGCAAGAAAAGAAAGTCCAAGCGTGTGCTTGCTCCGCCCTCCCATGCTGTGCAGCCATTTTCTGAAAGGACTTTTGCCGATTCGAAACAGCAGCTTGACAAAGCTGCGCCATCTAAGCCAGACAAAGGGTCGACCGACCCACATCCTGCGGGTCGCACATTTGCGCAAGTTGCAGGAGCTGCAGGTGAGAAGCAGGTTTTCCAACCGGTATGGCAACTGAGGCCTTCAGATTGGGACGCCAGCATTTTGTCCATTGATGAAATCACGCATAGGATTTGTGAAAAGAGCCCTGCCAAACTTCAGGCAGTGTCCTTTGTGCAGAATGATAGCGAACTGGACGAACTTCGTACTCTGCTATCTGGATTTGAGGATGCCAGTCATGAACTTGGTATCACCGCAATCATGTTGGCAACAAAGGGTGACACACCAAAGCAAGATGGTGAAATCATCCAGGTGCCAGGCAAGAGGCAAGGCAAAGTGACACCGAGAATGGCACACGTCGTGAAGCTTGGTTCCAATTGCCCGTCCTTGAAGAGAACAATTCGACGCATCGAATCTACCCCGGAGATGGTCAAAACAGTCGTGCTTCGACTCGCCACTGAGGCACGCTACCACGATGAAAGCAAGTGGAAGGCCATCCTTGAGCACTCATCACATGCTGCGCACAAGTGGTTGCATTCCAACTTGCCTGCTGTAATGCAGCGCAAAGTCAGAGACACTTGGGGATGGCAATTGGAATCCTCAAAGGGTGGTGGAAAAGCGTTGGTCACTGCTATGGTTCGTGTGGAGCACACAGCGGTCAACTCCATGCTTTCCCTCTCAGGTAAAGAGTCTTGGTTTATCGAGCCTTTGCGCTGGGATCAGCCTGATGTGCCTGCTTGTGAAGTCAAGTGGGTTAAAAGGAACCCCGAAGAGCCGGGACCTCAGTATGCAAACCGAGTACATGCAGAGGCTGGGAACCTTGGAGTTGCCCGGGGTTGGAAAAGCCTCGGTGTTCGTGTGCCTCGGGGATCTGAGACAAGAAGCAAGACCCGTACCAAAACATGGAGGGTCACTGGGGTTCCAAGTGATTGGAGCCACGAGCCAGTCTTCGCAGAACTTCAGGCAGCTGGCCTGTCCAACTTGCAGCTGACGAGTCGCAAGTCTTATGGCAGAAAAGCAACGCTTTTTCTAACAGCCTCCTGTGAGAATGATGTTGATTTTGTTGAAATTCGTTTCGAAGGAAGCCCCATGATTGCAACAGCTTTCAACCCTGCCAAGCATCACCGGAGTGAGCGCAAGCCCCTGAAGTCTGGTAGTGGCCTGTCTTTTGCTCCTGATGCCTTCCCGTCCGAGACAGATACCCATGGCAAATCGGTGAGAACTTCCTTCTATGTTGCTTCACCGGTGAAGAAGAAGCAAAAAGTTGAAGAGGTTGCTGAAACCCAGCTAGATGCAAGCCAACCGGATTCATCTATGGATACCAGAGAACCTGCAGAAGCGACTTCACCCCGTGAGGGCGCTGCAGGAAAGCGAGCAGCCGGTTCGCCCAACAAGGGCGATGATTGTGCGCCCAGGTCCAAAGTTCTTAAGCGACCAGTGCCGAGTGGTATGAGTCGTGTGAAGAATGCTGGGCAAGGGAATTGTCTGTTTGAAGCCATCGGTCAGGCTTTGAGTCCGAACAAGCCGAAGCATGGCCGAACTGTCCGTGCTGCAATTGTGACCCATTTGCGACGTCACTCAGACCGCTACCAGCCTTGGTGGGACGCTTTGGGGCCTGACGGCAAGTCTTGTGACAGTTTTGACGCCTACCTCAAGCTCCTCAATAAGCCTGGCGCTTGGGCGGGCTGTTTGGAGATCGCCGCCGCCGCGGCGCACTATGACAAAGCCATTTACGTTTTTGGTCCTGTCTTGCAGTCCCATGTTGAGGGATACAATACGTCTTGTGCCAATGGTTATCTCTCTTTGTGGTATGAGGATAACCATTACGAGTGGCTCAAAGGTCCGGTTCCCGATGATGTCCGCAAAAATGTTTGCAATGGTCCTTTGCAAGGCGGGCGGGGAGGCGCGACCTCCAGCAAAGTTTCGACTTCTGCATCTGGGCGCACGAGGTCCTCTGCGTTGCCGCCCCCTCCAAGTTTTGGCGGGCGTACCAGAAAGTCTGCCTTGCCTGACCTCCCGGTGCCCTCTGTTCTCAGTGCTCAGCAGAACACCCAGGTGTCAGCAAAGTCTGTGAGCAGCAGCCGTTGTCTTGATGAGGTTGATCTTGCTGATCGTGATGACATGCCGGATCCTCCACCAGTTACGTCCGCCAGGGACAAGAATCAGCCGCAAGATTGGGTTTGCCCTGAATGTGGATTCAGAACTGGTCTCCATAAGAATTGGAGCAAAATCCGTAGGAACCATGTGGTGACTTGGCATGCTGAGAAGAAGAATTTCTACAACCGACACAGAGTCGCTGACCTGATCCCATGGGATCCCGACCTTTGCTCTTGGAAATGCCCGCTGTGCGCTTCGGGTGTCCCAAAGACTGTCAGCGATGTTGATATGCATTACAGAATGCGTTTGGCTCACCGTGATAGATGCCACCCCAGGGCCAAACGCCTGCGTTTCGTGCGTGCCCGAGGCAGCAGTGCCAATGCAAGAAGTGTAAGGCCTTGGCAAGCTCCGTCAAGAAGCTTTCAAGCGTGAGATGCGATGCCTCCTTCAAAGGAGGTCCGAAGCGAAAGCAGCTGATTGCTAGTTTGCAAAAGTTTGCTGATAAGCTCAGTGTAGGTTCGCAGGAGCACACCGCAACCTTGCAGGTGGTTTCGAAGATTTCTCCTCCTGCCAATGTGGATGAGCTGGTCCCAAGAGCCCACAATGTGGTCCAGGTCCAGACGCCAGGCAAACGCAAGCAGGCCGCTTTGTTCTGCACTCGCTGCCGTCGCCTGTCTGCCACAAAGAAGCATTTGAATAAGTTCAACTGCAGTTCAGCAGCGGTTTGGTCCCCTGCGCGTGAGCGGGTCTTGCGACAGGTCGATGAAAACGCAAAGGGAGCCAAAGGCAAACGCTTGAAAGCGTTAAGTGAGCTGACTGATTTGCTCACTGGGAAGGCGACTAGCAGCTCAACCCCATGACTGTACTTGAAGCTGCCAATGGGGGACAACGATGTCCCAAGCATGATGGTGCCTTGCGAATCGCCACACTCAATGTGCGTTCTCTCAAGGGCAAAATGCCCGAAGTGTTGCAACTGGCTGACAGCTTGTCAGTCGATATTTTGTGTCTGCAGGAAGTCAGACTTTCTGAAGATAACTTGCTGGCCGCGTCTCACGCAGCCAAGCGCAGTGGTTGGCAATTTTTCGCTAGCCCTTGTGCTATGAACAATGCGGGAGCACCTACTGCCGGTGTTGCCATACTTAGCAAATGGCCTGTTGACAAATATGTGTTACCTGACCCCTCCTGTGTTCTCCGGGCACAACAAGGCAGGTGGCAAATCATGAGAGTGCACAGGCCTGGTTCACGGCCTTTTTTGTGCGTCAACCTTTATTTGCATGCTTCGGATAAGATGCAAGCCCGGAACTTAGGTAAGAGTCTCTTTGAGGCGATCGCTGTCAGCGGTGAAGATTGCATCTTCATAGGTGACTGGAACTGCACCGCTGAAGAAGAGCCTGTGTGTTCAGTTCTTCGCAGTGGGTGTTTGCATATGGCCGATGATGTGGCTGGCATTGGAACCCTAGCCATTCCGACTCACGACAAAGGTCGGCATATTGACTTTGCTTTACACTCTATAGGTCTTGTCCCTTGCGCCAGAAGCCAGTCCGCAGGGATTGCTGACCACTGCGCAGTCATGTATGATTTTGCGGTTGCCGGTTTGGAGCCTTGTTTCAAAGTCCCTCCTCCTAAGACCTTAAAGGCAAAAGAACCCGTCGAGCAAGAGCGGTGGGATGCTTCTTTTCCTCTTGAACGGTTTGATTTGTTGTTAGCGCAGCAGGATGTTCAGCGTGCTTGGAATTTGTTAAGTGACCATGCCGAGTCTCTTTTGCAACCCCATTCGGTAGGTCGTTCACGCACGACAGTTCCTGGTCCCACATGTGTTGCCACAGCGCCCACTAAGGTCGAAAGACTTCAGACTGTGTTGGAGCGTCGCCTCCGTCGCACCCTGCGACGTCTGGCAGAGCTGCAAAAGACTGATGCTGATTGGAGCTTGGCACGTAAAGTGCTGAATGCGCTGCCGTACTTGCAAAAGCATTTTCCTGAGCTCACTGAGGTTCAGAATCTGGACACAAATCTTATCGCTGTCCTCGAGCAATGCTTGCAGAAAGAAATATGTGCTAGTCGGGAAGCTGGGCTGCAGTCCTGGAAGCGTAAAATGGAGGAAGACGAGTCTTCCCTTGTTCGATGGGTGAAAGGAGCTGACAAGGTTTCTTGCTTTGCCACTGACGACTCTCGGGTCCCGGTGCACCCACAGCGCAAAGCCGAACATTTTGCAAATTTTTGGCAGAAAGTTTGGTCCCCGCCTTCCCTGGCTCAAGAAGAGGCTGTTGACCCTTTCTTGGATTGGATCCCGCCCGGGGGTTTTTCTTGCTCAGAGCCAAATTTCACACCTGCAAATCTCAGATCTCAGGTACGAAAAGCTGTTGGCAAGGCCCATGGGCCTGACGGTTGGACGGGTGACTCATGGTCCTTGTTGCCCATGGGTTTCTTTGATGCCTTGGCCAAGTTGTGGAATGTGGTTATGAAAACGGCGCGCTTGCCATACCAGTGGCACTCAGTTCGTTGCGTTTTGATTCCCAAAGAGGTCGGACTCCGACCCATCAGCATTGCAGCCCTTGCCTGGCGAACTGGCATAGGTGTCCTTGCTCAGCAGCTGGCTCATTGGATTGATTCATGGGCCCCTGATGAACTTGTGGGCGGTTTGAAAGGCCGATCTTCAGCTACTGCGCATGAACAATTGCATGAGAGCATAGCTTGGCCCAAGGTTTTTGGAGCTAAGATCGACATTGCCAAATGCTTCGACCATGTCGATGTTAAGCAAGCTCTTCGTGTCTGGTCCAAGTTGGGGGCACCTCACACTGTGGTGGCTGTCCTCCAATCCTTTTATGACAAACAGACGAAAACCATGGAATGGTTAGGTTCTTCCACTAAACCTTTTGGTTGTTCTCGAGGCCTTTTGCAGGGTTGTCCCTTGAGTTGCGGTCTGCTAGCCGGCCTGATGACGGTGTGGTATTGGCACATTAAAGCCAGTGCACCCCAAGTCTGTGTCTCTGTTTTTATTGATGACAGAACCCTGTGGAGCTCCGATTGGCGTCAGCTTTGTCTGTCACTCGAAGCGTCCAGTAGGATTGAAGAGGCTTTGGGCTTGAGTCTGAATCACTCCAAATGCGAGCTTTTTTGTAAGTGTTCTTCATTTCAGCTCGTTTCAGTGAAACGGTGGAATCATGAGTCCCACCGGAACTGGAAAGTTTGCAGACAATTTAAGCTCCTTGGTGTCCACTACTCTCTCTCCAAGCGTCGGCGCACACCTGTAGAGGACACTGTGACTCGCAAGGTTTCTGCGCGACTGCGCAGACTTCGGACCGCAACCAGCAACCAGAGAAACAAACGCAAGCTCACGCGCAGTTTGGTGTTGTCTTTGTTTGCTCATTCGGGGCCGTGGACAACTGTGTCCAAAAAGCTCTTGAATCAGTGGCGTAACACCATTGAGCAAACCATCATCGGCCGTGCCGTGCCGGGCAGGTCTCGTTTTCTGCTTTGGCAGTATTTAGGTCCGGATCTTTGTCCTGAATTCGCGTTGGACAGGCGGGTAGTCTTTCATGAGCTTTGGAAAGTCAGACGTGCTGTCTCAAGTTGCTGTTCCCTGCTCGACATCGAGCAGGTGTGTGCCGCTATGCCCCAACCTTCGACCTCTTACCGATTGGCAGAAGTTTTGAACAAGTGGCAGTGGCAGCACATCTCGCAGAGTCGTTTCCGCACCCCGCAGGGGGACCTTGATTTGGCATTTGACGGGTTGCCGGCAATCAAAGAGGCCATGAGACACGCATGGCTGGCGTACCTTTGGAGAAACGAGCCCCGCGCGCAAGATGACGCGGAGGTTTGTCAACGTGTTTTGCCAGTCTACCAGGCGCATTCAGCTTGGATGCGTCAGGGCGTCTCTGATTGGGAGTCCTTCTGCATTGCGGTCGGCGCTGGCAAAGATAGTCGTAAACTCGCCAAGCAGCATGAGCTTGAGTCCTTCAATTGTGCATGCGGGAGGGAATGGCCTTCACGCACACATGTCACGTGGCATTGTCCTTCTTGCCCAGGGTTGCCTGAGGCTTCTCGGCCTACACGCAAAGCTGAGGAACGTTTGCTCGTTCCTAGCATCCAACTTCCTCCCATACCTGATGAAAGGTGTAGCCAGTTTTTGCGACCGGATCCGAATTTGTGTGATCTTTTTCGTAGGACTGCCACGGCCGACCAGGTACTTTTGGTAGCTTCCGATGGTAGTTCTCAAAAGGTCCAGAATCTGCGCAGGGCTGCTTGGAGTGTCGCAACAACCGACCGGGTTTTTGCTGCCCGTCTCCAGGGACTGGATCAAAACATTTTTGGCGCTGAATCGGTTGCTGTTTTGAAAGCTTTCATTGCTGCGACTCATTTGCGCGTAGATCTTCTGTTGGTTTGCGATAACCTTGCAGTCGTCAGACGTGTGAAGCAAATCCAAACGACGGGATATTTGCCTCAGTGGGCGCCGGGCCTGTGGAAGGCCTTAAGCTTAGTTTGCTCCACCCACGAAATTGCGTGGGTGCCTTCGCACGATAAGCTTCTTGATTGGACCCCGTCCCTTGCTGGCCACATGGCTGAGACTTGGAGACTCCTCAACAAGCGAGCCGACGCCAAAGCTCAGGAACAGGCCGCTCGGTCTGTGCACGAGCTTCTTGATTGGAAATTTACCTTTGATGCTGCAGTGGCCTGGTCTGCTTCAGCGCTTGATAGGCAGCGGAGTGCTTTGCGGTTCCTGAGGCGCCTCATCGCTCCTTCCGCACCCAGCTGTGATGTTCCTTCTGTTGGCTTGTCAGCTTGACGGAAGCATGAGTTGACATGGTTTTGCTGTCTTCGCTGCAGCAGTCACTTTGCCTTCGCAGGATTTTTGCTGGACATTGAAATCTACGGATAGACCACTATCTGCCTTTGGCGATTTCTTTTTTCGTTGGGCGCTTTGCGCCTGGAACACTGCCTCCAGCCATTCATTGCTATGAACCCAGGCTGTGGCAGAGCAAAACTACACACACACACACACACACACACACACACACGCCCCTTCTTTGAGGACCTGTTTTGGTGTGGCCACGAGTTGCTACACTCCCAGAATGGGTTGAAGGGAACATCTGCAGGAAACCCATGATTCTCAGATTTTCATGTTCAACACTATGGGTTTACTGTAGGTGTTCCCTTCATAAGACTTCTCGAAAGATCAATTTTTTCGGGTTCGTCGTGGGCGGAGAGGTTGGTTTCACAGGATTCGGTCAGGTGAATCGGCACATAGGCCATGGTATGCCATGGTCCAGGTAGCAATAGGCCATGGACAACAGCACAGGAACCAATTGGTACGAGTAGGCGGATCTTAATCTGACTCCACCTCAGCTCCCCTGGAAAGTCAAGGTTGACCCTCTTCTGTTGCCTAACCTATCCTCAAGAAGGGTCTGGCCCTGCTATGGTTCACCTACATGGTGTGACGTCTGCCAGTCGAAGGGCTTCAGGCTTCAGGAACCAAAGGATCTTCCCCTAGGAAGGCCTAAACCAGCAGCAACCTCCGACAGCTTGATTTGTCCATCCTGACAACAGGAACCACCTCTCAGCATCTATCAGGGTCCCAAAAGAGGCTAAACAGGAGGGTTCTGGAAGATAAACAAAGTCACCCGAGAAGCAAAGACGGGTCGAGTGCCTTTCCAGATTTCCGAACCTCTGTTCTTCACTGTCATCTATCTTACAGTAAATGCTGGATAGCTTCACTCAGACCATGTGGGAAGTTCAACAGCCCACAGGTCAAACTTTTGTCGCACAACACACATCTGATCCGCCATGCGGCTCCGCCGATTCGGTTTTGGTGGTCAACTGGCCGCACTCGGAGCCAAGGAATGTAAACCCTCCAACTCACTTATTATATTTATTATTACATGGAAGTGGGAACATTTCGTATATACATGTATATTGGAAAACCTTGGTTTGGAGTGAGAACTCGTGAGCACCCTCAACTTAGAAGTGGTAAGTGAAAGTGGAGAACAACCTGTTTGTAAATGAACATGGTCTTCTACAGGAGCCCAGTGAGTCCCCGCTTCCATGTCAGTCAGTGAGTCAGAGTGTCTCTCGGCCCTGCTGGGACTTCGAAAGATTTTCCCAAATGAACAAATCGACCAACACCGAGTGAGGATGCCATGTTGGCCGACAACATGACCACTTTGATATGGTGGATGGAGTTCAATATAGCAACTCCCCCTGGTCATTGGAATGGCCATTCTGATGGCCGGGCTAAGCGCCCAAACATCTCCTGTTTGGCGCAGGGGGAGGTCCCGAGGACTGTGAGACCACCAAGGAGTGTCGACACCTGCACCGTGGTTGCTGGTCCTTTGGAGTCGAAAGCTTGCATGAAAAACCCGATATTCCAGGCTGGAATGTCATCCAAGGCTCCATTGGTGGTCAATGAGTGTGAGATAGTGTGAGATAGTTGGAAGAAAACAAGCCCTTTGGAATCCTTTGGGTTAAGTATGGCCCTTTTGTGGGTTTTTGTCCACACCTACCACCCACTGCTACGCAGCGTGGCACGACACCAGTGACCCCGAAGAAGCACAGCGACACCGGAGACGCACAGCGACCCGCATCCATCTGAACCATAAAGAGTTCGCACGGGCACCGCACGCTGCACGGAACGCAGGAACGCATACGGGCACGCCACGGGCACGGGACCTAAAGATATTATCATCCCTTCGCACGGGCACCGCATGCAGCACGGAACGCACACACGCACACCCCGGCCGCACGGCACGGCACGGGCACGCAGGAAAATCCTCAATATGATCTGAAAGCCTCGTCCACGCGGTCGCGCAAATGTTGTCGAGCTTGCTTCCTTGGCCGAGCAAACCAAGGACTGCGACGGTGTGGGTGGAGAGGAAAGACCACGGTGAACCCCCTTTCCACCTTTGGATTGGAGTGGCCCCCCCCCAAAAGAAGAGGTTCCAAGGCAGTCCACTTTTTCCTGGGTCGGGTATCCCCAATCTCCACGTCGAGTTACTCCTGAGGGGGCGTTCACTAGTACTGGTCGAAAAAAGAGACAGCCCCGAGCTAGTCAGCTAGTTGCCGCCACCCAAGTGGCGCTAGAGCACTGTAGCCTTCCTTCTGTGCACTGGCCGCCAGTCCACAAACGCCTCCATGCCATGGTTGCATGACACATGAGGTCCGTATGCAACCGGATTGGCTTATTCATTGTGTTTATCATTCAGCATCCACCACCCAGCACTCATGGCACGGCATGGAATACACAACCTAGCACTCTTCATGGCGGCATGCCGGTATGCTAAGGAAACCATACCATCATCCGTCATGAAAACGTCGCCTGGCCAATCTCCAGCGGCCAAGCGGGTGGGGAGCTGCGACCTTGGCGTCCAAAAGGGGAGTCAGAGTCCGGTTGGAGGTGGGAAGGGCAGTTTGGAAACAGGTTGGGTTGAATTGATTGAGTTGCTTGCTTTGCTTTGGGTTGGTTGGATGGGTTGGGTTGGTTCTTCTACCTGAGGCCGCCTCAAGACTCATCCCGCCTCACCCACCGCATCAAACCACGAATCGGGGATGGCGCAGACCGAGCCACATGAGGCTTAGCAAATGTCCGGCTTGGTCGCTCACCGTCTTCTGGTGCTTCTGATCCTCAGCTCGCTGCACCGTCTGTGACGAAGGTGTGAAGGAGGCGTTTTTCGGACCGAGGTGGCGACGCAACGGAAAATGAACATGACAAATCTTAGGCGTCCACATTGACAAATTGAAGGGATCAAGAGTGATCTTGCTGGTCATGAGCATGTTGGACAACATGTTATGTTGGAAGTGCTTGTCAAATTATTGGCGGAAAAACTTCTAAACTGCCCAGGCTATCAACTCCTTGGAAAGACTATCCGCGCTGCACACAAACACCGAAACCACAAGAAAGGCCGGAATGTCTACAACCACCTCTGCCACCAGCCATTATTGCTTTCGTTCAAGAACCTTGCTTAACCTCTTCTGAGGTCTTGCTCCAATCCTGGAACTCTGAACCAAAAACCTTTTGAAAACCTTAACGCACACCAAATCATTGATCATGTTCAATCAATATGCAAGCGCAAGGGAAGTGAATTATACAAATTGTTTATTGTGTGGGAACAATGCGCAAGCTTGGAGCCCAGATCAGCCCAGCATCCCGTAGCAACGTCAGCTGCTTCTCATCCTCAGAGAATCCAACGGAGTCTGCAAGCATCTGATTCGCCAGTTCTACTGGGCGTCATCTGCATCAATAGCTTCCACATCAAAAACCAGCAAAGCTCAAATATCAGCACAGCACATCACAAGTTCATATACCAGGACCTTCCAACATGGGTGATGTTAGGATGACACCTCCCTCGGTAAGGCGTCCAGAAAAAATAGAGGGGCCTACCAAGATATTGCGGATGAACCATGCGGCATATGACATAGACCTGCTATTGGGATCTATTTGGCCTGGTAAAAGCTATTCGGAACTCGAACATAGGGCATCTGTCTCTTCGGAACTCCCGAGATGCCCAAGCATGGTGATTTCAACGACCCCCAATGCGAACAATATGAGTCAGTGGGTGAAGAGTCCCAATTTATCCCACTGACTCATAAGGTTGAACATAACAATATCCGAAACCACCACCTAGAAAAGAACATGAGCGTCTTCCAGCGAACATGTGCTGGAAGCACATGACATGGGATTGGAGTCATCCTCATCTCTTTTCAGATGGTCTTCTTTGGGTGCGTGCCCTCCGTTCCCCCAATCTCGTTTACAAATCAATAGGTCCTGGTGCCTCCCTGGTGCCTCGCAGGCTGTCCAATTGATCCTTTCCTGCTTGCAAGCATATATAAATGCATATCTGATCATATCTCTGCTATCCATGCGTCTCCAGATTGTTTGGCCTCCTCCAGAGTGCGCGTCAGCATCTTCAATGCCTGCACTGACACCGTTCGATGAAGAAGGGTTTTGGCCAAAGCCATAAGAGCTCACCCGCTGCTCAACACCAAAGTCATAGTGTGCTTGCTATATAAGATATCTGGGGTGTGGACGGTGGGGGGTGGCATCTGGCTCCTGTCAACACCAAAGGCTGGCAAGTTGATCTCACCTCCGCTGCCAACGTTGAAAACACAACTTACGCTGAAAACACAATGACACACTCCTGCCCATCGATCCTCCATAGCCCCGCGTAGCTGGCTACGCCGCGTGGCCTGCTTCCGCAAGTTCTCCGAGCGCTTCGCTGATTGCTCGTAGGCCTTCAATGCCTGCGAGACAGAGCCAAACCAGAGTGATCCGCCATACAACCCGAGGGTTACCTCATCCAAGGCTTCCTCATCACCCTTTCCACAGATGATCTGTCATTATTCTTACTTCAAAAGTCTATGAGTCTGAAACATTCTGTTTCATGATCATGCAAGTCTTGGATACTTGGTCTTCTCATGGCTGGTGTGCATGGCATGAACACACAATTATTTGGACACTCTTCTGCACTACATGTTCCACAACATGCCATGCTATACCACAATATCAAACATCACGAAACGCATTTGCACCACATTTACACATAATCCTCAACATCCACCCACGTTCACCAACACCCCAGCGACAATCCCAAGCATGAAAAAGCACGTGCCACACAAATTTAAAAAAAAACGATTCAAAACACTGCAAAACTGACCAAACATTCAAACAAACAACATTCCACCCCCAAAAAAAGTCCCAAACTTAAACAATATTCCAAACAAACATCCAAATTTCCGAAACCATTCCACAATATTTGGAGAAAGCTGTTTTTCAACGCAATTAATGAGGACACATCGAAACTTTCCTCATTTCCTACTTGTTTATTAATACTACTGTGTCAATATAACTCATGTGCATTACAATCAATTTGCTTTCACTATGATCACCGAATTCTCAGCCACATGTGTGAACATGTGGGACGAAGAACTGAATGAACGATGTTGATTCATGTTTTCCGAAATCCAAAGCCATGCTTGCCGCTTGCCATGCGTTTTCCTCCCATAAGTCCCCGAAAGACCCCCCCCAAAAGGCTATACTATAACATGCTATAACAGTCCTCAACTTCAGTATGAAACCACAAAAACATGGTGGAGTGGAGTCCCCTTCGAACACACTGTGTGTTTCTTTTTGGGGGGGGAGCTTGAGCCACCATTGCCAAATTCACAAGAATCCGCACAAACCGTCCTGTCTCCATCTCCCCGGAGACATGAAGGGCAGGGGCACAACAAACGGATAAAATACTGACTCCCCAAGTTCTCCTGGCAAATCAAGGTTACAGCCTAGCCTTCCACCGGTCCATGTGCGGTGGGTAAACCAATCTCCAAACAAGCTGTTGATCCACTTTTCCTGGGTAGGAATGACGGGGCTTCGCGCCGTGCCACGCACACCCACGAGTCAACCCGCGCGTGAATTGGTCGTCCCAAAGAGCTGAGTTCCACACCGCCGGGGAGTCAACCCGCCTTCTCGGCGTCGGCGGGCGCGTCGGTCGCCGCTTTGAAGATCGCCTCGGCGTCGGTGCAAACAGTTGGGTGAGAAGCAGTTGGGTGAAGTCACCCTCCCCAAGCACTCTATGAGCTGTAAGGAACAAATCAGTAGATGATATGTCTAAATTCACCTCTTTTCGATCACCCCCAATGTAGGCAATACATGAAGCCTCTGGTATGGAGTGGCTTGATCCATTCCCGGTCTCGCTCAAAGTAAGTGGGCTTCAGGTCGTTAAATGAGAAATCACCCTCACTTCCCTCTTCCAAGTGGTGGGTTAGAAAAAATCTCTTCTAGGAGTCGCACAGGGGCGTTTTTGCGTCCCATCCAGTGGATAATGGGCACCCCTATCCTGCAACAGGCATCCCTTTGTGACTCCTGGTTTGGATCTCTTTGGGAACACCTTCTTTTTTCCTCTTCCCCTGCCAGTGGAGGCAACGAATCCAGGGGCTCCACGTCCGGTGTTTAGGGGTGCGAGGCTCGCCAACACATGGAGCCCTCGGGCAAAAAGACATCCTTGTACAATCTAGGAGATCGTGTGCCTAGCGGTCGTGTGCATCATCAGGCAGGACCACCATGGCACTTTCGACTGGTCGAAAAGAGCCCCGGCATCTGAAGACTCCCACCACTGCATCCCAGTTGTTACTCCATCGGCGTCGATGGTAGCAAGGAGACTAAGGAGACCCCACTGGGCTTGGGAGGAACCACTGGGCCAGCCTACGAATTGGTCGTCTCCATTTTCTGAGGTTCCTACCCCCCCTGGATGGAACTGATGCCGTCTCTTGACCGAATGGCACTGAAGAAGCGATTGCAGGCAGGTGGCATCGGCGTTCAGCTTTGCCTGGATCTTTTCACCAATTTCCTTCGCATCCTTAGTTGGCACTTTGGCCCATCAGCTCGCAACATGCTTTCCAAAAAGGTCATATGGGTCACCTTCTATGACTCTATACATGGCAGCTCTTTAGCTTAAAACCACTTGATGTTGATGCTTAAAACCACAGGACCAACATACATATCAACAAAACAGCAAATCTGAAACCTGGGCTTGCAACGTACATGTACAGGACCTATTCTTTACTTTTTAAAGCTATGGCTATGGCTATAGCCCTCATCTCAGCTTCTCAAGTTGACAAACACAGCAAAACCTATTCTACAGTCTTCGCGGAGGAATTGAGAAGCCGGAGAAAGCATGCAGGTTTTGTCAGGGAGCCGCAGATCTTTGTTGGAGACGCCCTGACGCCCCTCTTTCTCTCCACCAAGCCACCAGCTTCTGAGCTTCCTCCGCAGCCTTCTCAGCGTCCTGGACGGCGCTTCCGGACGAAGCAACACGGGTCTCCAGCGATGGATCGAGATCATCGATGGAGACAAGTCCTGGTTGTTTTGCCGCGAAAGCGGGGATGATGAGGAGCCATCTATTCAAACAAACCTCATTGGTCATTTTCAGGGCAGTATTTTTGTGCTTGTGGTGTGAGTGATAGACTTGGTACTGTAGCATGATATTGGTAGACTTGCACGCAGCTAGGCTATGTTTCTTCCATCCGCCAAGCTGTGACACATGAAAACAAATGGTTTGCATACCTTATACTGTTCATCAACAAGTATGGAAGAGTGACACCTCGCACTAATTCTTGCGCCCACGGTTTTTTCTGCATAGCACCGTTCGTAGCACCAACAAGGAACCAGGTTCCGGACATGAATGCAAACCTGCTCCTCTCCCGGCGAAGAAGTGTGTGCTTCACTGGTCTTCTATCGCCCCGGCTCCGCAACGCCCACCCCCGTGTGACGGCGCGGTGCCTTGGGAGCGTGTTCCGGGCCGGCATCCCACTTCTTCAGCCACTCCTCGGTTCGTCGAGTCCAACCTGGTGAGAACCTGCGCGTTGTCCGGGTCCAGTGTGATCGAAGAAAAGGCTAAAGCGCAAAAAGTGCAGGAGGGGGGAAGGGGGTGAAGGTAATGAATTCGGAAGAGTAAACATCGGGACTGGCTTCAAACGATTCAGAAGTTGGGTGAAGTCACCTTACCCCACTGGAGTGGGACATGAATGAGATGCCTACACGGGCGTCTCCATTCTTTTACACCCCACCTCTACCCTGACACTGTCACCTGCCGAGCGAATATTGAATAGAGCCTGAATAATGAAGCTCATGCACCATGGACGTTTAAGGATGTGTTTGGCCCTAGTTAGGGGGAGAGGTAGTCAGGGGGGCTTCTGAAGCCCTTGAAATACGCCAAGTGTCATGGTGTTTATGGGGTCCTTTTCAGGCTGAATTCAAAACCTCAGAAACCCCTCTCATCTCTGGGTGGCCAAGTCCTGCTGTTTTTGAGGTACCAAAGCCTGAGATGGTCCCCAACGACCTGGAGCTGGTGGCTTCAAGCTGTGATAGGCAGGTGAAGATGTGTTGCGTTCGAGTGCGAGAATTAGGTGGTGAAGTTGATAGTTGATAGCCACCTAGGGACTTAGAGAGGTCGAACAACCCCAAAAGCCTATCCCATACCAGCACCTTCCAACAGGTCTCCTTTGGAGGGTTGTTAGGCCCTAACAGGTTTCAATTGGTGACCTGTTGGAGGTGCACGGTGCTGGTATATGATATGTATGTACTACATAGAGACAAGACAAAAGTGGGTAGTAACTAGCCTGAATATATATATATATGACCTACAACCCGTTCACAATCCTATGGGGGATCACAGTGGGCGGAGTAATTTCCACCCTGAAGTAAACTTATAGTCAGTCAGTCACGTATGTAACGAGTAAATCACCCCAACGAGTCTCATTAAAGGTCCATGCGCTGGTCCCAGCTCGAGTCTCTGGGAATGATCAGCGAGGACTAAACTACCCAAACAATCCATGTCTGGAATAGCTATACCTACTTACCCGGAGGGTGGTTACCTAGGTTGTAAGTCAAAGCTAAGCACCCTCCGGTGATTGTGTCTTAAATGGGGCACATGTATGTACATGGATGGTCTGGGCTTGAAAAACTGCAAATGTGGAGAGCTAGTGCAAACGCCAATGCTCACCAGGGTGCGTTGAGCTTCTTCTGCGCTGATTTCAGTAGCCATTTCAGATCCTGACACCAGGCCTCAGGGTTTCGGTCTGCGTCTGGTCCCATCCAGGGACTTTTGGTGTGATCATCCACTAAAGTCAAGGTCTCCAGAAAAATAACTAGTATTAGTGATATATAAATTGTACAACTTTGGGCTTGGGGAGGATCACGTGAAGATCAAATGCATGAAACGTGTGTTGGACTCCGTAAAGGCAGGAAAGGCGGACACTATGAATCTGTTGGGGTACATATGTCCAAGTCATTCCAAGTCTATCTATTCTTGAAGGCTCCAATGACTGAAGTACATGTACATGTTGCACCCCGACTCTTTCAGCAAAACCCAGCTCGTGCAACTATGCCAATCAAACACCAACCTAAGCAATATAGTTGGGAAGGCCTATGAGATAAAAATACAGGTTCTGTACCCAGCTGTGTGGGGTTGCCAGCCTGAGTAAGGTAACTATGCCCCATCCAAGTCATGGTTCTTTGATGGAGTCGAGATGCACCAGCTTCATCCAAGTGTCTATCACACGGACCAATGGCACCAGCTCGTCTCCACTTCCCTCCAGCTGATTCAAGGCATCTTTCAGCGAGGCCTCCACGGAGCACTTCCTCAGCTGCTCGGCCTCTCTATGGCCTCATGAGGGGCCTCATGCCTCGCGTCGAATGGACTCAATGGGCTTCTCTCAAAGGAACAACGCTTCCTTCCAATCCAACTCCGGGCAGGAGGGGTGAGACTTGACATATGTGGTCCGTGAACCGTTTTGTCTTCAATAGTTCAAGCAATTGATCTCTGAACCAATGAACAAATCCCAAAATGCTCTCAAAATCTTTCAAACATGTTCAACAAACAGTCCTCTGCTTTCACCATTCTCAATAGTCTGTGTCTCTGGCCATCCGACCTATATATATAATCTATGCACCAGAGTCCCTAACGTCCTAAAGATGTGGGCCTGAGTCCACAATTTAACGATATATATATATATAGAGTGTGTGTGTGTACAACAAGATAAAGTTACACATGTTTCAAACGACAACAAAAACATGTATATATATATACACATACATAGAGAGAGTGTGTGTATAACGAGATATGGTTACACATGTTTCAATTGACAACAACAACTTATATATACATATAGAGAGTGTATAACGAGATAAAGTTTACACATGTTTCAATTGACAAGAAAACACTTACATATATAGAGAGAGAGAGAGAGTGTGTATACCGAGATAAAGTTACACATTGTTCAAATGACAGCAATAATCGTATATATATATATATTGATGCATTATATATAGTCATTAGCTGCTATATATTCACCTATCTTCACTCACTGAAGCCACGCACCGATCATCACACCGATCGTCCATCTACGACACCAGCAACACTGACATCACACCAGCACCATTCACTCTCGTGTGTTCCTTGGTTTCCAAACATTTCACCTGTTGTTCAGTGGGGAAACCAATCCACAAACAAGGTTAATGGTTAGTTAAAGGTTATCCACTTTTCCTGAGTAGGTCTATGGAGATATGGAGACCAACTCTCAAAGAAGAGCCCCCTTTTCATTCGACAAACATCTTCTGCCAATCTTCTGCCAGAGATCGACTCAGTTGGAGATCTCTGGTGGGCCGACCCCCAGCCCCAGTACCCCAAGTCGCTAAAAGTGAAAACCACGAATGTAAATCATATTTGCCTACATTTGGCTACACAGTGCCGGGGTATGGACTCATTATATGAATCCAACAACACGTTCCAAAGCCACTTCATGTCCCAAACCAGCTCAAAGCGCATGAAGAGCAAAACGGTCAGTAGGAGTTAAACATGCATTGGTGACTTCAGAATGGTACAAACCCAGAATCTAATTACTATATATTTACTTAACATTATTTAACTATTCATCAACCCCCATCTAGAAAATGGTGAACTGGCAAATTGAGGCACCTGCTCTGAGCCTACACAGGATGCACTCATGCCTACAATATCTCTCTTGGGTCCTCCTGAGGAATGACATCCAATCTTGCTTCCATGTTCTCAACCATGCTTACAACAGAGTACTGTTCATCTCTCTGTGGAGGAACCCATGGCGGATTTCTTTCGTCCCATGTCCTCACAGGAAAGCCCAGGCCGCCCAGGTACGCTTTCTCCGCCTCCGAGAAGGCGCGCGCCAGGAAGCGCACCCCACTGATGGCCTGGCGGTCGGCGCGGTCGGCAGGGTCGGTACCTCAACCGGCCGACTGGTAGGGACTTGGTGGGTGTTCGGTGTTCCTACCGAGTCAGTCTGGGGTAGGTTGGGGGGGCTGCCTACCAAAGGGTTGAGGAACCCGAACAAAACGATCCCAGTTGGGTATACCCAGGTTCTGGGTCAAGTGAATGTTTGTATAAACCGTGTTCATCTAGCTACACAGCAACTCAGCTCAGCTCTCCAGTGATTTTGGGTCGGACATCGAGACACCGGGCCCTGCAACGATTGGTGAAGACCCTAAAGACTCGCATGAAGGAAGGAATATCATCTTATTCCAACCTCCCATCAGGTCGGATGATCATCGACTACCAGGAGTCACATGGAGGGCCTGGGTGGTTTGGTTCGTCCCCTTTTTTTGGTGAGTGGATGCGACAGGGGGTACCCCGACTTCCTCGAAGCAGGTTCGGCACCGCTCAGCTCGACTCCAAGCGCCGGGGATCGGAGCCCTTCCCCCCGGTTCCCAGGGGCCTCATCTGAGGAGGCTTTCAAGGCCCGGGCAGATTCCAGGAGCCTCGGGAGTCCAAACGTGCGGATTCCAAAAGGATTCAGGAAATGAAGTGGAAAACCACCTGTTTGCAAAGGAGAATTGTCATCCAAGGGGCCATTTTCCACCCATCTTTCACTTCCGTGACCATTAATTTCAGGAGGTGCATGTACTAATTTCACATCCTTGCAAATGCATTTGACCTGCTGTCAGTGGCTGATCTGTCAAAACGATGGTCCACACATGGACGATCACCCTCAGTCTTTTTCGGGTGTATCCTATTATTTGTAAAGAAGTGGATGGTGATGGTAGGTCGCAGGCCTTCCTCTAAAATAATGTTCTCAACGGTCGCAGTAGGTTTACTAGGACAACCCCCAAGGTCTATTGCTGAGTGAACCGCGCCTCCTCTGGACCAACTCCACAGCACGATTCTTCTGCTCCTGGTCGAGCAGAAGTCACCGCGTGGTGCACATTCTGAGTAAAGCGCCGATTCGACTGGTGCTACTTGATCGAAAAAACAGTCAAGATGAGGTACCTCACATGAAGAGTTGTGGCTTCGAAGTAGTTGGGTCAATAATCTAATCTGTTGCAACCAAAACAGCAAGCAAGGAAAAAAAGGTGCAAGTTCTGAAACCCTCGGGCTCCAAAAGGGCTCCAATTGTCTCCTGAGAAGGTGTCTGTTGTTTTGTTGTTGTTGTTGTTGTTGTTGGAGGTGTGAGCACCCTCACTCTGGTGCTCAGTGACTCTACAATATTCGAAGTCCAGGTTTGCTGGTTGGCTGTTGCATGTGCACAACATCTGACTATTTGATTGACAACATTTGAGATAAAAATTGGTTGTATAGATTTATATATCCATAAGAACCCCGGCCCTCCTCAAACAAATAGGGTTTTGAGGGCCTCGGCCCCTGCTATGTAGGGTCCGACCCCTGCAAGGATTCTTAGGGATATATATGATTAAATTACATGATAAACAAAACCCTGAGTTCCAAGATTGCATTGTCTTTACCAAAGAAGCATTGTTCACTAAGGAAGTTTGGACTATGACACCAGGAACACATATTGGTTTAATATGGTTCAATGGTCATTGATGGCTAGGGAATTATAGTAAAGTATGTTACATATAGGCAAATACTGCAATCAATGCCTTCTGTGCCTGTTCTGCAGAAAAGAAACCCCACTGACATTCCCTCCGACCCACAGCCCATGGGAAAACAGTAAAAAAAACGGTTCGTTGCCTCCCCCAAAGAGCCAATTGCACGAAGGTTTCGTCGCAAAAGCTTCGATTCCCACAGCCCGAGCACCCCAACCAGGTGGTCTTCGGAACGGTGACGTGATTTGATGACTTGAGAAGCCTTCACAAGTCCCCATCTTTAGGCCCCCAACCAAGCCCAAACAAGCTCCGCCAACCCAAAGACTCAATGCCTTCCACATTGACATCCCTCCACCCTTTCCAAAACAAACAACAAGAGCCACCCCCTGGTCCACGCCCCTGTCCCACGCCACGTCCCACGTACGGCCCGACCGAAGCGTTCGGCCTGCCAGCCCGACTGCTCCGCGGTGGCCACCAGCTGCACCGTGAGCTCCGGGTCCGCGCCGACTGAGAGTGGTGAAACTCTTTCAACGGAGATCCGGGAGATCCTTCCCGTCTCGCGGGCGGATGGTTTCGCAGTCGGTGAAGATCTGCGAAGCAAGAACGAAAAACTACAGTGGGCCATCAGAGGTGAGACGTGGCACAGACCTCAAGATGTCCTGAAAACATGGGGGTTCATATAAACCACCGACATTGGGGTCTGTGCCATCTACTCTCAATCCACTATTAATTTAAATATATTTAAATATGTCTATTGACTTGGATCAGGCGGCCCTCTTTGCAGCATATATATCTTGACTTACATCTTGCTATTTCTTGATAGCTTTTCCCCATGAAAACTTCTCAGCTTCATGGGCTTGGCGGTGCTTGGCTGGAAAATATCAAACAAGGAGGCAGCTGCAAAAGAAAGCTGTTACCATCTGTTACCATTAAAGGATACTGGGTGGCTCCTATCGGCTAGTATGATGCTAGTATGGCACAACCAAGCAAAAGAGTCCTTGCCAACGACCTCACAGGCTAGGCTAGGCCAAGGAGCAAATATCTTTGCCCTCCTCAGCCACCAGCTTGGCTTGAAAGTCCTCCTTCTTCTTGCGCTCGCCTTGGACTAGCATGGTGACACATATCATTAAAAAAACAAAAGGCTAAACAGCGTGAATCCTTGGTCTTCAGCCTTATATACTGTGGTTTCTACTGCCTACCACGGTGGGGCCTACCTTTACAACTCCGGATGGGGGGTTTCGACCTCGGCACCTCGCCATGAAGCGCTCGGTCCTAAAGCATCGCTGGTCCTCGACCGAGACCGCCCCTTTTTCCGGTGCCGCAGGAGGTCGACCGAGACCGGCGACCTCGGCGTCCACGGTGGCCGGCCGAGTGGAGACCGCTGTTCGGCCAAGCTCCTAGAGCTCAGTGTAGTCCTGGCAAAAGGGGGGGGAGCCGAAGCGCTTTCCTGGTCCACCTGGAAAGAACGGAGTCTTCACATGTCTTCACCATCAACTTGGGGGGGGGAGCTTCTTAAAATCACCGCGGAAGGTGCGACTGGTGGCGCCACGGGTCCGAAGCCAGAACCAGAGCTGACCAGACCCAAGACGCCCCTAGAAGCGTCCTTGCTCCTATTGGTAAGGCCAGGAGCCCTGCTCGTAAATCCCATCCATCCATCCGACAGCTGCACGAATCCTTCAGCTGCACAGTTCTCCTTCCGCTCCTTCTTCTCAGTCTTCTCATTCTTCCGTTCTTTCTTTTCCAGCACGTCTAGCCGTCTGGAAGACCAGTCGATGCAGTGCTGAAAAAGTTGAAGCTCCATCTCCTAAGGACTCAAGAACTGATCTCCCAGAAAGCACCGCACAACACAAGAAGGAAGACTCCTTGAAAACGCTGCAGCTTCCAGCCACCCCCCCAACAGGCCAAAAGCTTTCTCGTGATTCATCCGTGACGAAACCGCTGGTTCCGCCCGGCATGGCGCATGGCGAAGAACCCCTGCTTCCAATTCCCCGCGCCCCCACCGGTTCTCCAAGGATCTCTCACCAGAAGTGCAGACTTGGACCTCATCACAAGGAGGTTTGAGCACAGATTTCCGCTCTTTCAGAGGCACCAAGAACCCCAGCCGGCGGCCACTGTATGCCAACTATTTCCATGCACGTATATTGCATATCATATAACATATAATGAATGGGGCATCATGGGGCAGTTGCTGAGATTCTCGGGCATCCGGCAGTAGTATTCACATGCCTAGCACATCAATCATGCCCACTTTGGATTTGCGAACCTGCTGCGGCAACAATATATATAGTATATAACACACCCCCAAAACTCCATGTGTGATAAATTTTCCAACACGGACAACTCACATCACTCCAATATACTCCAAAGTATTCGATAGAGTTTTTGGATACTAATCATCCTTCAAATATCATCCAATGGTTTTCAATCGTCCCTATGAATCTTTGGCTGTCCCATATGGAGGCAGTCGGCACTTGGCTTCGATCTTGCTTCACCTCCTCAAGTGTTGCAGCGTCCACCGTGGACAGCACCATCCTGGGTGGTCGCCCCAAATGGCACGGCATCTGACCAAAAGGAAAAGGGGTCGATGCAAAGGTCGGAGCTTCAGTGATTGAGCTTGTGCCAGGTCCTCAAACGAACGGTATGTGGATGTGTTGGAATGGCGAGATACTCCAAGCAAGCAATGGGTTTTAGCATGTTCTTGTTATTTGCCAGGGTGGTCCCCCTATTCTAAATACAATGCCCACATGCAATTGGAACTATAAAGGGTGGTACTAAGGGCGGACTCCTTCGATCTGCTCTGAAGGAATTCTGCTGGAAGTGTGTGAATCTCCTGTTGGGGGGCCTTTCAAGCCTTGGTGTCCAAACAGGAGGCCATCCCCCAACTTCTGACCTTCTTCGTTTCACTTCCTTCACTTCAGCCCAGTGGCTTCGAGCTGTTACACTCCTTCACCAGCTGCCGGTAGAGCCGGCCCTCCGCCTCGCGCCAAACCGCGAAGGTGGCGCCCGGTGGCCGGGGCCACGAGTCGAAGTAGCCAGCTTGCAAGGCGTGGAAAGCGGCCTCGCCTGCGGCCGGCTGCGCCCGGACGGCCGGGGCCACGTAAAAAAAGCACCTCTCTTTGTAGTTACATACCCTAGGGCTCCAAGTACCTTCTCAGATGGTCTTTGGGGTGGGTTCAGAGGGTCCAAATACCTTCTGAGGAGGTACGACTGGAGCCCTAGGGATACAGCTTACCGGATGTATATGGTGACAGTACCGGGTCGCATGTTTGGTTTCTGGTCGCTGAGTGCGGGTCTATAGATCAATCACCGAATTTGGTGAGTGTTTTGGGCCTTCGGCTCTGAACGAAGCCACGAGTAAGGGGCTGAAGTGCCTCTCCTGTGGTGATCTAGCAAACCCTGCACCACTTGGAGTGGTAAACACTTACAAACACCTGTGAATGCCATCCCTTTGGGTCCACATCTCCTCTGAGAAGGTGATTGGAGACTCTTTTTATGATCTGTCACGTAGGGTCCTGGAGGGTCCAAGTCCCTTCTCAGTCTTCTGAGAAGGTAGGTGCATCCGGCATCCGCATGGATTCAGTCGACGGGTTGAGAGACTTCTGTTCTTTTGCGACCCTATATATAGTGGCTATAGAGGTACACATGGGAGGGCGGCCTGTTCAAGCTCCCTAGGATGGTGACCCTGATGTTTCTCCAGATTTGAATGTGGACTTCTTGGGAACGGTGTCATCAGCGCGAGAAGATCCACGCGACATCAACGCAACGAGTCACCACCACCCAGCCATAGCACGCTGGCACAGCGGAGGTTGCTGGCACTGAGGAGATCCTCAGTTCTGCGTCCGGCTGAGCAATGGCGGTCACTAGGAAAGCCCTCAGTCATGAGCAAACTAGACTAGCTGGCAGGTCAATCGACATGGGGCTCCAGGTTGTGACCCATCCCCAAATCTCTCAAAAGTATATGAAGGATCACCAATACCAAGGGAGTTTTGGTGGGAAGTTGTTCCAAGGAGGTTCTCCAAGAAACTCCTGGAATACTTCCTCATGTCGGGAGGAGGAGTTGATGGACTATGTATGTCATGTACGGTACTCTTCCAGTACTCTCCATTCCAGTATTTTTTCTTTGTTCAACTGTACTGTAGAGTAGGTCCTCAACAAGCGCTAACAATCAATGCCTGGTGCCTATCTCTGGTAATGACGTACTACACAATCTGCCCAAAAGAGTCCTCACCTGGTTGTCCCTGAACATCCCTTGACATCCAATAATTCAATCATCCAATGTTCAAGCTTGAGTTTCCCGCGCATTCCCCACTGCTTGCGGCCCAAATCTCCCCCGAACGAAGCAGAAGGGTGCGCACCTCTGAACGGCGACACGTGAGCTGCGCCTGCTGAAGCATGGCATCCAGCAAACTGTCGGAAATGGTCCCCTGGCGATGGGCGGAAGTGAATCAAACATCCATAGGCCTGGCGTGGCCTGGCCCCTCAAGCAAGGCCAACAAGACCTGCCTGGTTGAAGGCCAAAGAGAAGAGCAAAGGCCAACGGAATAGTCTGTGGATGTATGTGGGTATCCTCCCAGTTTGGCTGCCTGGGAAGAAGACTAGAAGAAAGCACAATTGTTGTGGGGTTTCCCTACGTTAATTGATAGTGGATTGAGAGTAAACGGCACACTGATGGCACCGATGGCACAAGTTAGGTACCCCCAAGTTCGGTGCTTCATATGAACCCCCAGCTTAAGGAGATTTTTCGGGGTGCCAGTGCCATTTACTCGAAACCACTGGCTCCGTGTTACGGATGGCTCCGTCCCGCTAGATCAGTCTCACGACTTTAGGGTGTTAGACGGATCTCCCTGTAGCCACAGCTACCCAGGCCGGACCACCCAGCACCAAAGTCGAACATGGCCAACATTCCGATCCAAAGCAGGGGTCATGTCTGGCGCTCTATAGGCTGATATTTGCCCGCGTTGGTGTTCCGTGTAAAAACGCCTTTTCAGCTACCGCCAATGTGGGCAATTTTGCTCGCACGGAGCGTCGATATGCTCAATGGGACGCTTCCCACCTGCGAACGCCCCCCCACCTGTGTCAACGCTGCTCCATGGGGATTCTCAGGGTAGATGATGCCATACCTAGGGAAGAAAGTGGATGCCCGGCTGAAAGCCACCAAAGGAGTAAACAAGAATATACAGTAACAACATGTAACACGCACATAAAATGCATTTCAAGTCAAACTTGTGGCCCATCAGTTTGGGCTAAGTAGGGCAAACGGATCATTTAGATTAGATGATTGGTGATCCAGTCGAAACACCCGCTCTGATTTGGGAGAGAGTTAGACTATATCATTGCTTGATCATTGTTTTCGGCCTGGTCCGCAGTAGGACTTAGCACACCCTCCTACAGCGAAAACCCGGCACGATCTTTACCGAAAACGCCTGCCGCTTTCGACTCGGAGTGACATCGCCCACAGCTGCCCATTTGGCTGCTCGCTGCAAAGGAAGACCTCGGCAGCAACGTCAAAACCGGGGGACCTGTAGTCTGTAGTTGACCTGTAGTTGACCAGGGTTTGGAGCCGGTTTTGACCCGATATCTGGGGGAGTCCCATGTTGGGACCAGTGAAACCACAAATATACCATGAACACTGGCTGAGGACACCAATTACACTACAGAAAAAGAACAGAGTCACACTTTCAAGTACCTTCAGTCGTCACTTCTTTTGGACAGGCTACAGGCTGCACGACAACGTACAGTAACTCTTCCGGTGTCACAACATGTCCATCTTCATGCGAGAGCATGGGCAGTTCCGGCCCGGCATGTGTTTCCAGCGAACCCATCAGTTGGCGTCACCCACTCGATCCAAAATTCATCAGAAAGAGTGTGAGAATCGACTTCTAGGAAAACAACCTCACAGTCCTTCCTGGCGTCATGAAGGTCCATGTCCTTCAAACAACATGTCAATTGAGCAATAATATGCAATACTATGTGCCGTTGCTGTACCCTTTTCTAAACCACCACATGGCCTGCACAAGTCTGGCAAAACATGATGAGCCAGATGGTCTACCGGCATAGGGTGGTCTGTGGTCTGCGCAACCCGCCGATCACCCCCTGCCCTCCGGGCGGCCTCCTCGCCAGTCTTCATGCCTTTCCCGGCCAGTACCGCCCAACCAGGCAAACGCCCGGTAGCCGCCACGTCCCTCGCCAGGGGTGAGCAGCCTTGGCGCGGGTGGCGGGGGCAGAGAGGTGAATTCACCGACCTGGCCGCTACAACTGGCTTCGCTTGAGGAACTCCAGCTCCCTGATCTGTTTTGAGCCGGAGGAAGAAGAGGGGGGGTCGCTGGAGGAAGGCTTCTGTAGACCATGCTGCGGCTATGTCCTTGGCCAAGCAGCGATGGAGGTCCCAGTGTCTCAACAAACCATCCAGCAGCCTCAGATGTGACCCGAACCCATGAGCTGAGGATGCCTGACTAGAGTTGGCATAGAAGTAGAGTAAAAACACTTGGCACATTATATATCATGTATATAATTGAGTGAAAACACTCTGGTCTTTACGAAACACAAACATTTGACACCTTCTGTTACTTTGTCGACAGCCAGGGGTCAAACAACATATATATATATATATACAGTATATATATATGGCTGCTAGCCCGAGACAGGCGTTACTCCAGGCTATCAAAATTGATTCCAAGGTTTGGAAGATTCTGCAGCAGAAAGTAAAGAAGTTATAAACTGGATGTGCAATTCGTACCACCCGGTGACCAACCCAGGAAGTACACTCACCCCCTATAGGGTGGCTTGTTCGTGCTTCGTGCACAACTGTGAGCCCCAGGGGGCGGCAAGACATTGTGACCCCATGACCGGTCCCTAGCATCAGCCATGTTCAAACACGTTCTACTATTACTATAGTAACAACTAACCAAGGGCATCGCCACGAGGATCTATTCGGAGCGATCGGACGCTAGTAAAC